CCTTTATAATTACTTTATCAAGATTGTAAAAACACTGAAAATCTAAGATAACAAATTCAATGTATACCAATATTGTAATACTTGACTACTGCTGCATAACTAATTTAATATGACTGTTTTTTGTTTTTTATGTTTATGTCAATAACAGTTTGACATGAAAAGTTTTGCATAATAATTGTATAAATTTATTATCTTATTAATTGTTCCAATAATTTGTAAACGTCTAAATTATGTACAACCTCCTGCAACAGGGATAATTTCCTTTTATGCAAATAAAGTTTGATTGATTGATTATTCATAGCTTTATTAAACATATTTTTCTTAGTAATGAAAAAGAATAGTATACTTTTGCAAATTTCTGAAAGCTAACCCTATGTTTTGCATTAGCAAACCCTTTGTTTTGTATAGCATGGATTCATGTAACAGAGTACTTTTTTGGAACATTATATGAGGGATACCTCTATAATAAAAAATAAAACTATATGTAGCCTACTGTATATAGTTATTTTCTTAAGCATTATTTTTTTTTTTTGAAAATAGAAAATGTTTTTAAATAAAATCACTATTTTACTTATTATTATTCATTAGTAAAAAAGTTAACATTTTTTGATCTGTTAAAAATAATTTGTTTTAAATTTCAACTTAAAAAGGGCTGTCAACAATGATAATCACTGCTAGACTGCTTCATTCTATATTATTGGCAAGAATAGCAAGAGATTCTAATCAGAAACAATGTTATCTGCATATTTATTCATTATTGATGTATTCATACTGTCTACTAAAGATTATACATTTATTACTTGAGCATGAGAACTTTACATAATTCATATGTTGTTTACAATAGATTTCCTTACTGTGTACAACACATATTATAAAATAAACTTTCAAATAAAGTGTAAATCTGTAACATCAACTATTGAATTTATCCTTAAATTAAAAATAATATCAGAATGCCAGAATTATTTTCATTTTTTTCTAAAAAGGATGATAAAAAACATCAAGAATTCCTTAAATTATTTTTCTCCCTCTTCACAAACATTCAGTAATCTATTTTTTAACTATAATTGTAATTTTTTATCTAAGTATTATTTCCTTGACATGAAGTGATGGCATTTCTTGCACAATTCTAAATAATTTTCCATCATGTTATCTATACAATTGAAATTGTAGGAAATTTATATTTAATGATCAATACTATAGCAATGACAATAAATGTTAAATCTTAGTATTCGTGCAACAAAAATATATAATGGATGTAGACATATGACAAATTACAGGTTTTTGTATCACTGACAAGTTGAATGCAGACTTAATGAAGGCAATGATACATATGCTGTTAATGTGATATAGCCACATGGCTAAGGCAATTGAGGCATTAGCCTACCACTTTGGGGATCCAGAATCAAACCTGGAAGATTAGAAAACCCCATAAATTTTTCAGGGAGTGTAGACCGTCCAGATATTTTAGGTTCCATTCCATGCTACCTGGCCCTCATTACGAGCTTACAATGGAATTAAAAAAGGCCATTTTAGTGTCCGTAGGTAGAAAGAGTCAAAAAAGAAAGTAATATTTACTCTGTGATAGAAAAATGCTTGGTTTTTAAATAAGTTAATTGTGACTTGATCAATATATGTTCATTCAGTCAGCTATCAGTTTTTGAACATAATTCATGACATCTTTTGTTACTTTTTGGATTCTCTTTCCTGAAATGGCAACTATAAACACTTATAATATTTTTAGTTGATATTTCATATTAGGTAAACAATACAGTTAATTGCTCATTTCAAATTTAAACTTAAATCTACTAATAGTGTTCGATAACATACAGGCATAACCCGTCAGTTTATAAGTTAAGAAAAAATGGCAAAAATGCCATTAACACCTACAATACATGGAGGGGGGTATATAGTGAGAGATGACAGATTTCATAGAGATCTGGTGTACATTGGTTCAACCAAGAGATCCCTCAAAAAACAGCTGGCAGAGCATAAATATGATATACAAAACAAAAAGCAGACCACTGCCTTAGCAATGTACGCTTCCGACTCCGATGTAGAAGCTAAACTATAGCAAGCCAGTCTCGTTAGATGCACCCTTCGCACCAATCAAGTCAAAATTTTAAAGCTCTAGAAATTTTCAAAGCCGAACTAAAGGGAGAATGTATCACTTTTAAAGAGAAAGCAAACATCTCAAATGCTTGGCAGTTATTTTACAACAACATTAATAAAAAAAATAAGAAATCAATTAATTCACTTAAGATTTATAAAAAAATGTATTCATTAATTTTAATTTTAACGTTAATGTTAACACCTAGATGTTATTTTTGTTGTATACTTGTTCTAACGTTTACAGTTCCTACGATTTTAAAATATTTAAATTCAAATGTTTAGTATTCTAATTCTAAATTAATTAAAAATCTACTAATGTGAGGTACCTCACATTACCAGTGATAATAAGCACAAACACCCAGGTATCAATGGAGTACATTTAATAAAAACAAGATGGGGTGTGCATTAAAATCAATTACATTAGCAATTAACATGAAATAATCAAAATACATTTAGGACTATCGGAATAGTCCCTCTTCATTTGGTATACATATAAAAAGGTTATAATACTTAAATTATACAAGACAAAGGTATGATCATTGAACAATAAATGGGTGTAGAGAAGGCGGCTTCATAATGTTACACGGTAGCTTGACGTAAGGGTTACTATTACAAATAGTATTAAAATTAGCGGAATAATAGGGTAATTGTTTTACAAAATAAATTATATCTACGTGGTACATACCATAACAGTAGTAAGATGGAGTTTGAAGGTTTCATTACTACAAGATGCAGAGCAGTTGTGAGGTAAGTGTGGTACAGGCAACATCTGGAGAACAAGTGGTGACTAACATCTTAATGGCCAACTTTCCTTCCATCACCTCTTAAACCAGATTTCAGTATTTACATTATTCTAATTCTATTGAACATTTCTGACCTGAAGCAGATCCTAGTAGAATCGAAAATGTTTGTCATAACATATTTTTATTAAATTATATTTGCTGGTATATTTTGAAGTTTAGCTGGTGTTATTTAATAGTGTATATCCAACCAGCTTTGGGAAGATTCAGAATGCTTAGTGTGTGACTATGCAGACGCGAGCAAGCGAGAAGAGGTGATGACGTTTAACGCTCTCTTTTTCTTGCTCGTTTATTACGATCACACAAGACGTGAGCGAGAAACAGAGCATGAAACGTCATCGCCTCGTTAATGTTACCACCTGTCCAGTTTTCACCTGGAATCGACTCACTGTCTGGATGAACTATTAATTTTGTCCGGGAATATTGTGCGCAACCTGTCGACCTTTTTTTTTTCTTTGCTTGTACGATTCGTATTCGTACACGTCTCCAACATCCAAATTTCCAATAGAGCTAAGTCATTTGTAGTTGTTCTTTCTTAATTTCAGTTACTTACGTTACTCCTACCCAAGTCTCCCTAGTCCCTAACTGTAACTGATTTAGAACCAGCATGCACTGTACATTATTCTTCGCATTGCAAAATGACGTTGCACATGCGTCAGGAACTTCTGTTCGAACAAACCTCACCTGCTGTCCGGATCAGCGATTTTGAACAGGTGGCAACACTTTCGCCTCTTCTCGCTCGCATCCGCATAGTCGCACCCTTATATGTGCTATACAGTAAGAAAACACAGTCAAAGCCTCCTTACAAAAAATCTAAGATAATCTTTCACGTTCTCTCATCTATATCTATATCTATATCTATATATATATATAAAAATGGACATGTATGTCCCTATATTTCACTTTTTCGCAAAAACTACACATCGCACGTGAATGATGTTTGTATGTGGTAGTAGCCCCAAGTCTCTATTCATGCATAGGGGTGGTTGCGTCTCGATAGCTATAAGGCTGCGGGAGATATGGGCCTGAAAGTGGTTGAAAGTGGCTTTCTATTTCGAATGTTTTGTTCAAATTTGTTCGAATTAAATTTGAACATAAAATTCGAATATTGGTTCGATTATAGAACGATTGTAAATGTTCCAGAAACGTTAAAAATAGTTCGTTTGACTGGACGTAAACAGGAGAAGTTCAGAAATCGAATCGGGACCAGGTCTCTAATTAGACTGGAAATGGGGGACCTAATTCTTGCATTCTGTGAAAACGGGTAAGATTGGCTATAATTTAATTATCTTAATCTTCACTATCGTTACTTCTTAAAAACCCAGCTAAGCGGGTCCTTGCAGCTAGATTCTAGATTACTTAGAAAAACAGTCTTTTATATGTATAAAAAAAGCTATATTACATACAAATGTACGAACAAATAAAAACCCAGCGAAGCGGGTCCTTGCAGCTAGTTTTTATAATAAAAATATGTTAAAATGATTTTAAATTTACAGAAAAATATCTTGAAGGATGCGACTATGAAGACGCGAATTTAGTAGCGAGCGATATAGTTCTCACAAAGGAAAGCCATGCACAAGCGAGAAGCGAGAAATATCGCTGGCGAGAGAGCGAATTTCTGGTTCTAGCATATATCTGACAGGGTTTGATATTTATCGCTTCTCGCTCGCGTCTGATAGTCGCAACCCTTAAGATTCCAAAGTTATGTTTTTGTATCATACCTTTTCAATGATATTATCAATAGCAGAATAATATCTGTCCCGGGATTTTAAAGATAATTCGTTTAATAAAGTTTCAAAGTGATTTTCTTTTTGTTTAAACATTTTTCTACTTATGTTACTGCGATTACTACGATTACTGGGATTCCAACTCGAAATTGGCGCAAACATTTCCAAAACAAACGTTGCCACCTCTTAGACGTATTTTTATTAAAATTAACCATAGATCATTACATTTACTAAATTATTTATTAATTAATTAAATATAATTATAAATAATAATATAATAAAATAAAGCGTTTAACTTCAAAATTTATTATTCGTATTTTAGAATAATAAATATTTATACGATCGCCAGAGGGAAAAGTAGTAACGTCAACATTTTTAAATGGAAAAATAATCACGTGTTTGTGGAGTGAAGAGTTTAGATTTATTATTAAATCTATAATGGTATTACTAACTCTATTTTTACTATTATTTATAATTAGTAAATGTAAGAATTTATGTAATGTCAGAAATGATATTATATCAATACTATTTATTCTGGTTAACTATTTTATAAATATTTTGATGTTCTTTCATATGAAGGTGTTTAACTCTATGAAAAAATGAAAAAAATATAAAAATCAATTAATTTTTAAAATGTTACATTTAAATAATTAACTGGGATAATTCAATTTATTTTATCATAACTCATTATGAAATTATTATTCTTATTTTCAGATAAATGCATTGCTATAAACTTGCAATGTAATTGCTCTCTCAGCTGCAATATCCATCAAAATCAAATAAGCACAAGCATTTTAACCCAGTAATATTTAAATCTATTAGCTGATTTACAAACAAATAAATATTTAGATTCTTGACATTGTGAATAAATCTAGAACTTAATGTATACAGAACAACGTTTATATTAATATAAAAAGCTTATAACGTTGGTCTGTATTATTCATTAAGTTAAGGACTTAATAAACTTTGCTGTTATGTTAAAGTTTGTTAATGTTTTATTTCTTGTTCACAAATACTTAGATAAATAAGATCCTTTTATAAAAAAAATTAATACACTTATCACTTTAAATATTCTAAATATTTCTATAGTCTCAGTGGGGGTCTGTAGAACTTCCCTTTTCCCACCATGTAGGGTTATAATACATCACAAAGCTGTGCTCCAATTGATATTTATACTTGTTTAATGATAACAATAAAATGTTAATTAATAAAGCAATGAATGGTCATCTAGGGCCAGGCCAGAGAGTTTCCGATATATATGCGTATGATAACATTTTTTACAGTATTATATAATTTGTAAGATGTATTATTTAATTTTTTTATTAACAGCATATTAATGCAATATTTTGAAGTGTACTGTATTTGACAAAAATTAAATTTTTAATAAATTTTTTAAAATATGTGGCTTCATCCCTGAGAGGATGTATTGATGTGTATTGTGATGATCTGCCTAGTCCTGAGCTTTTCTAGGGTGACCTATTTTAATGGAAGAACTGAATTAGCAAAAATGCAGATGAGACGTTTCCGTACACATTGACCGAATCAGTAAAAACACGCAATATGGATATGTTTCTGAACATTTTTGTGTTGCTGAAACTTTGTGTGTGAATCCTCACATCATCATGTAAATGTGAAAGGTCAGCCAGCATGTTGAGGAGACTGAGCAACATGACAACTATAAAGGCTAAACATTGCATTACAGAACTACCCTAATTTATTCTCATTATTATTTTCATGTCAAAATTGACAAAACTGTAAATATATTTGCATTCAAGGAGTATGTAGTTAGATGTGCTGTAGATAATTGAAGATATGAAACATTATTTTGTAATATAACTTACATAACATGTTGTTCCTTATTCTGCTAGACTTTCCCTGAAAATTTGCTGATGATGCACGAGTCTATCTTTAAAAAAACTAAAAGGGTTAACAGAAAAGATTAGTAATATTTGTTATTTTCTATGCATATTTTCAAAAGATAAATCACCTTAGTTATACAACTCTTTCAAAAAAGTTGTAAAATTAAAAACCAGCTGAGGAAAACAACATTGTGTTTTGTTGTTGAAATGCATACTGGTCTTTTGTGTGTTAAGAGACCTATATGATTAAAATTGCCATTAAGTTCCAAGTATTCATTGGTACAATCTGTGTTTCTTACAGTGTTTAGAATTTTCTAACAAATAATAAAAGAATTAATTATTATGAGGGAACCACCCCCGTAACTGATTTGTTGAGTTTCCTACTTTGGTTGTGTTCACCGTTTCGCAAATGAGTGGTTGCGCGTGCGCAACTTTCCGTGTTTATTCTTAAGTTTGTTTTTCGAAATTTTGAATCGCTTAAAGTTCGTTTTAATGTTCTGTTCCATACGCATTCTAATTCCTCATAAACATAGCCTGACGAAGACCCAGATGGGGTCGAAAACGTTCGCTGATGTATGAAGCAAGTATTACTGGAGTTACGAAGGTTTTTGTGTGAAAGTATAGAATTAATTATATTCATCATTTGTAGTATTTATTAGTAATAATATTAAAAAGTTATGATTTCTGAATTGACAGTAAGCAAACAGATACAAATAAAGATTTTTTAACAGCTTGTAAGTTTGTAAGATAGATAAAATGATAAATAATAAATGACAGTTTTTTTAATATTGTTTATCCCTCAATTTTATTTAAAGTATTCATTTGTATAAACTTAAGTGTACATATTTACTTGAAAAACAATATTTGAAATATTATTTTAATTGAAATTTTATAAAAATTTTATTATTTATTTATAAAAATGAGTATGCATTATTATTTTAGTGTATAAAATCTATTTAGATTCATTTTTTTATAAAATTGTTTCTATTTTTCAATATTTAATTGAGTGATAACAGATGACTTTCTAATTGTAAAATTTAGTTTAGACTAGAGTTTAGCAAAGTTCAGCTATTTGGAAATGTTAAACTGAGCTGAGGTTTTGACAAGCTGCAAACTGAGCTGTGAATTTTGACTACGTTTGAGAGCTGAGCTGAAGGGTGTTGCATTAAAGCCCATTTTTGAAATTAAATTGCATCAGTAATAATAATGGATACACGGTGTTAGATATGTTTTCATTTATCTGTTAATAAAACAAAAGCATTCAAATAAAAACTATTTGAGCATTAAGCAATTGAACTATAAAAAGTTTTAGATTAAGAGAATTGTTAAAATAAAGGTTGTAATTGCTTTTCTTCATTTGTTTCATAATAAATGCTATGTTATTCAATTCAACTTGCAATATTTCAAATCTTTCTATAATCTTTTATTCAGTATCTTTTCAAACATGCTCAGTTCCATTCATTTAAAAAAATAAAACTGATGGGTACCTTCTAATGTTACTTTGAAATGTTATTGTTGGGTATTTAATTCTTAAATTACAGTAGTCAAATTTAAAAGTAAGAAACTGTAATAAGTTATATTATATATCAGGTTTAGAGATGTTTGTATATATTATTTTTAATCAGAAATTTAAATCTGAAACTTTCAGTTATTAAATAATGTTTTTAGTTTATGCAAAATAATTTTATTTTTCAACATCTAGTTGTATTTATCATTATTAATTAAGTCTATACTAAAATATTATTATCTATTCTTATTCTAGGTAACAAAGAAAGTAAAAGAGTAATGAATATGTTTATACTCGTAAATAATTGAAATTAGTGTATATATAGAAATTTAACATGTCTCGTCGTCGAAATGTTGAAGTGGTACCATTGATGGATAAAGACGACGATTGGAAAGAACAAGATCTCGAAGATTTAGTTTTGAATGATATATTGGATAATATAAAACAATATCCACAAGTAGTTTCATACAGACAACTCTGGAAATCAATTATTTTGATATCATTAGCTTCATTTATATTAGGAATTATCACATCTTACTATTTATATAATGTTTTTAATGCTAACAATTCAACAGTTCAAGTTGCTAAGAAAAATGTGTATATATACATGAAAGAAAATCTGTATGAAGATATTAATCATAAAAACATAGAAGAACATTACAGGTAAAATTTTTATTAAATACTATCATAAACAATTATCTTTACTATATATAATAAACTATCATAAACAATTATCTATACTATATATAATAAACTTCTTTGTTGCAACTTTTAAATGATAAAAGTATTTGTTTTTTTAAATTTTTTTCTCGCTAAAACAAACTAAATATACATTAATTTAATTTAATTTATTTATGCATATTGGTTTCACCCATAATGCAGGGAATACAAACTTATAAAAAAATTACAGAGATCAATGTACAACAATAAAAAACCATTATGATATTATAATGAATTATTACAGAATATAAATACACAAATACAAAATTTGTGAAACCGACAATATTCAATTAAATAAATTATTTGCATAAATCAAAATAATCAAAATCATGAGGAGAACTATCTGGAAATATTAATAAAAATAAATTATATATAAAATAACTAAATCCACCTAAAAGCAGAAGAAAAGTTAATTATCACATCAAGCAAATGGATTATTAAAATTATGAGATTATTTACTTAAAAAAATCTATATAACGTGTATATATATATATATTGTCATGAATACATTAATTAACAGCTATCTTAGAAAAACAAAACCAATTAAACTGCAGAATGGAGATTGTTCTCTTAAAAGTTTTGAAGTGAATTCTTCCATGAGCATTCCTTTCTTTAAAGTTTTTTTTTTTTTTTTTCAAGTTATGTCATGGTCTCATCTGACCGGTTAATGACCACATTTGCAGAAGTCCATTCCAATATAGAAGGGGTCCAAAAAGTTACCATGCAGTAAAGCAGTGGCACACTCATGGGCATAGCCAGGAAGGGGCATGGGTGGGCATGGCCCCTCCAGTTAACCTGGTGCCCCTCCTCAGAAAATTACAGCCGAAAAAGCGTTGAGCCAATTTGCAAAAAGAAATAAAAAGCTGAAGCTAATTTAATTGGGTGTAGTGTATCCACTGAAAGTCTAGATCAGGCATAGCCAACATACGGCCCGCTTAATGAATTTATGCGGCCCGTGATTAATCTTTGAATATTGGACTTAACTTCAAATAATTGCTCGAATGGATCTGCGATAATACCTCATATCCTCACAATGTGAAGTGATAGGAAAGTTGAGAAATTCTGACCCCAAAAAAATAAAAAACAAATAAAATAAAATAAAAAAAGGTCAACGGCTTTCTGTGTCCAATGTGAAAAGTGTATCTGTAATCTCTATGTACAGTTTAGTCTTTACGGAGTGATGCCACAATAAGATCTCGCATCACCTGAAAATCTTGCTAGGGCCACCTCTGGTTCAGCCAGTGAAAAAAGTTTTCTTTCCAATTCGGCCCAGGGGAAAAAACTGTTGGCCACCCCTGGTCTAGATCTAGATTAAAGATGATGAACTATATTAAAGAATGGTAAAAAAAATAATTGATTGGTTAATTTTTGTTTAAGGCATTGCTAGAGTTTGATATTAATGTTACAAGAACGTAAAGGAAGTTTCATATTATATGTGTGTTAAGTTATTGTCGATTCCTATGGAAATTTCATTTTAATGAACAGTAATTTGAAATAATTCAATTTTGTGTCAGGCTGGCCTCTACTAGACCCCCATAACAAAACTCTGGCTATGCCAATGGGCACACTCAAGATTTAATTTTGAGGGGAGTTGAGTTGAATGGACAAAAAAATTTTAATGCAAATTCAATACATTTTCCACCTTGTGTAACCACTAATTTATAAGTAGTATATAAATAGAAGATTTGACACAATATAAATGAAAAAATTAATTTTAATTAAGAAAAGAATTTTGGAAAATTTTGTATTGTTTGTTTTTCTTTTTCTTTGGAATGTGTCAGGGTCACTTGGCCCTTCCTCTGGGTGCACTACTGCAGTAGTGTCTTCCTCCTAGATTTTTCAAATTAAAAATTTTTTGCAAACATTTACATCAACTTTGAGTGTAGCCTGACAACCATCTTGGTCAAACTCATACTCCAGGCTGGCATGAAATTTTGCTGGACCATGTTCCAAAATTATGCAGGACAAAAAAAAACACATATATCTGAATTTTATAATAAAAAAACTTATTTATTATAAGTACAAAGTGTGACTACCTACTGTTATAAAACTTATTTTACAACTTATAGTTAAGGTATGGTAGATAAACTATACAGTATATTCTTTTAATATTCTTAGTTAACATTTTAGTTTTATTTTTTAACTACCCATTCTGCAATTGAATTTACTATAGATGTATGATACTAGATATAGAGCACTGTAAAATTTATGATAAGCTTTTTGTGGAGTGCATGTCTTTTAAAGTGTGGGACTGGAAATGTGCTGGTTCTGTCCACACTACGCATGCTTTTCAACAATATAATAAACCATGTTCAGACTTGTCTTCGGGCTCTTAGGAGACATTTACTTCAGAAAGCCAAATTATCAGGCAATGATTAAAATTAATTTATTACATTTATTAAAATTATCGTGAGATGGTAGCTTAACACCTATCTGTAGAAAAAAAAATTACTTTGTATATAATTATTAATTTAGCTTAATCATATCTTGATAATTTGTCAGATTGTTTGGCTTTAATCATAAATCAGGTTTGTTGAGTTGTTTATATACATTTACTGTAGAATCATCTGCTGTAGAAAGAACTGCAGTGCATAGTAACTTTTGGCATATCCTATATATATATATAAATATAAAATTCTGTAACTTATATTTAATTTTTATACTATATTTTTGTGCATATAATACACAGAAAATTGCTAGAACAAAAATAAAATCTTTGCATAACCTGCTCTACCAAACACTCTGTATCTATGAGAGCAGAAATTGTTCCGCAGGCTCAAGTTCATATTTGCAATTCAAAATCACCATCTAACTTTTATCACGTAATTCACACCCATTTCATATTGTCTTCTAAATATGAATGAGCTGTGAGTTATATGCACAAAAATACTGTAATTATAAAATTAATGAATTATATTTTTTTAGAATTCTACAGAAAACAGGAAGTGAGGAATTACTTTCTTATATAAAAAATAATTGGGTAAAGGAAGGGCTTGATACAGTGAATATTATGTCTTACAATTTTCTTACGTCTTCTAGTGAAGGAAGATCGGAACAGGTATAAAACTTTTTTGTTATTCCATTTTATAAGTGTGAAATGTATTGATTCTCTTTTAATGATTGAATCCATTAATCACAAGCAAACTTTCATAGTAAATTAGGTCATAGTAAATTTATTTCTTCATTTTCAGAAACTAGAATCAATTTACCTACTGTAAACTTTGTGCTTAAAGGCTTTAATTATTTTTTTACATCCGATAAATTTTAATACAAAGTAGAAACTTATAATATTTTTGAAAATTGTATTAATTACATCTATAACATAGTTATTGAAATATTTATATTTATTTTTTAGTTATCAATCGTTGAATCAAATCAAAATAATTCGGAAAGCATGAAGGATGAAAAGAATCATTTTTATGAAGTAAAATGTATTTATTGTGATTGCCCATTCATAAAGGATCAAATAGTGATTGTAAGATTTGCATTTAAAAATTTTTCTTCATCTAATTCAGTTAATGCTTAACTATAGTATTAAATTTAAGTTTTCAAATATGCTGTTATAAATGAAAGTAAATAACTAATTATTCAAGAATTTTAACAAAATATTCAAAGTTATTAATAAATATTAAGAAGATAACAAATTAGTTGATTTAATACTATAATTTATTATCTAAATGTTATGCTTATATATAAGTAATATACTATGACAGTGGTTCCCAATTAGTTTTCCCTGCGTACCACTTCAAGAAAGAGCTCAAATTCGCATACCCCTTATAGCAGAAATTCATATTAATCCATACTAATATAAATTCGAAGGTAATTCTGTCTGTCTGTTACCTTTTCACATCTAAACCTCTGAACAGGTTTTAATAAAATTTGGCACAGAGATAGCTTACGTGTTGGAGATGGACATGGCTACATTTTACTGCAAGAAAATATCTTACTCCCACGAGAAAATTCAATATAATGCAGGCGAAGCTGTGGGTAGACTGCTAGTGATAAATAGAATAAGTTTTTTTTTTTATTACATTTATTACCTTTAAAATACAATTCTAATAATAATGAAAAATAACATAAGATTATTTAATTTTAATGTGACAAATGTGCATGATTTTCTTTGCATAACTTTGTAAAATCTGGTTGCTTTTTGGTCAGCTTCAGTCTCTAGTTATCTTCGAGTTGAAGTCGGTGACGATGTTTAGTTTTTACGTTTGTCATGGCTGAAAATCCGCTCTCACAGAGGTATGTTGTGCAAAATGGTAGTAAATATTTTATTGCCACTTCGCTGACATGATAATAATGATAATGTTTCTTGCGTAAGAATTTCATTTAGGTATTGTCACAAATGCATTTTTTTGATGAAATTTTGAGAATATTTTTAGTTATAAATAAACGAATTTGTGCATTCGACATCATGTTGTAAATTGCCGAATTTTTGGTGGTCCACTCCTTATTTTTTTGATTACTTCATCTCATGCATTTAATAATAATAAACAACGCTTTTTGCCCGCGACTGTAAATTAGACAGAATTAGATAACCCAACGATTAGGGTATAACGTTTTGCAGGGCTTATCACACCAAGGCCGACTGGAAGAAGGACCAGAACTTTGTAAAAAAGGTTTGGTCCTTAATAATCACATATCAAATTTAGGTAAGTATGCATTTTGGGTACAAGGACCCCTCATCAGCTTACAAACACATGGCAACAACGTAACAAATACAATACCAATAACCTGTCGGTACAACGGGGTAATCAACATATGCAGTGCACTGCATTTACAAATTATCAAGTATAAGTTACTAAGTGTATAAGTTACTTTGATAATTTGTAAATGCAGTGCACTGCATATGTTGATTACCCCGTTGTACCGACAGGTTATTGGTATTGTATTTGTTACGTTGTTGCCATGTGTTTGTAAGCTGATGAGGGGTCCTTGTACCCGTAATGCATACTTACCTAAATTTGATATGTGATTATTAAGGACCAAACCTTTTTTATAAAGTTCTGGTCCTTCTTCCAGTCGGCCTTGGTGTGATAAGCCCTGCAAAACGTTATACCCTAATCGTTGGGTTATCTAATTCTGTCTAATTCATGCATTTAAATTTTAAATTGACCGATTGTAGATTGCCACGCGTACCCCCAGGGGTACGTGTACCACTAATTGGGAACCATTGTACTATGGCATTCAAATTATAATGATAAAAATTTTACAACAGATGACACCATTTCACAAATTATAAGAATATTGCAAATCCATTTAGGATAATTTCAACGTTTAAACATTCCTACTCTAGATTACAAATAATCTCTTAATCAAGCACATCTATTATTACAAAATTTAATAGCAATTCCACTACTTATGTTGGTATATGTTCGTAATAATATATAGATATATGTCAATTATGTATTCATAAACTACACAATTCAATATTTACTTTGCCTAATATAATTAAATTTATAATTTATTTTGCAATATGTTTGTAATTTCTCTCTTCTTATAGAACCCCAATTATCCAAGATAAATTTATCCAAGTACTGGTCCACATTATCTCATATAATCAGGGTTCTAATGTATATGCATTTTTTTTTCTTTTTTCTTAGTTTCTTTTATAAAACTTTATTTTCTACATTTTTTTTATTTTGTTTTTCCAAATAAATCATTCCAAATTTTAAATCTTCAGTAAATTAATTGGAAGTTGTAAATGATTAAAATAGAGTGTTATTTTATTTCTCTTGTTGTAAATGCAGCAAAGATAATTACTGCTTTTACAATTCAGTCATTTCATTTAAACACTTATTTTAATATTAATAGAATTGATAAATTATTAGACTAGTACCAAATACTATATATACTAATACATGAAACACCTCTCAACATCAAAGACAGCCAATTTGAATAGCTGCTGCCCTGCCATCTAATGACATGGAGGAGCATAATGGTTTTTACCTTCTCAACGTATTAATGTTAAACTTAATATATTAATCTATAATAGGTGTACGTCTGTAGGTGAGAATTAATTGATGGATAAAAAAGTGCCAAATTAATGCTGTTTATTACTCATATTTTACTTTCCAAGACTATTGACACTTTCCAATGTTATTGTTTGTCTGGTTTGATCGTTTTGACTCTATAATAGCCTACATTCTGTAGAAATTTTGATGTACTCATTCCTGTACAGCAACATTTTTATACAATATTAATAAACTATAATTATTATATGTTTATTTTGTTGTATTTCTGTATTAAATAAACATCATACAGTATGAATATAGATGAATGATTCTCTTTCATTGATCTATGTATCACTTTTTTGGTCTTTTTACTTTATTTCTCTGAAACTTTCTTTTGTAACAGTTTATTTGCAGTTCTTACCTTGCCATTAATAACTGCACACATATATTGTATTCTGTTGCAAATGCCATTACACGCTAGTCGCAAACTTCTACATGCTACAGAACACATACATATTGTAGTAGCCATGTTCTGACATTTTGTTTACCCTATTTAATAATAATATTAAATTTTTATGTGAAAGCATCTCGCATCAAAATGTAGTACCTGACATTTCTTGCTAACTCAGAGGGCTAACATTGTGGCATTTTCATAGCACTTTATTTTCAGGAGAATATCTTTAGGATTACTCAATGGTTCTTGGTACTGCAAATGCTCTTTGCATCGTACATGAGGTACTCTGATAGCAGCCCAACCAGCAACATAGCTCTTTGTATTTTGGTCATCCAAGGATAAATCCTTAAACATTTCCATGGATTCTTCTTTTTCTCGTTGCTGGTGGCAAGTGTAAGTTTACTATCATATGTGGATTTATCTGTTCCATCTGATCTTTGCATTATCATAAAGTTATCGAGATCTTTCCAACAGTTGCCTGCTCTCGATGGCTGCAACAAGTGGTTTATCATGATGGTTTCCATGACTGAAATTCACTTGCATCAGGGTTGTACACCTAATTCTTTTTTATTTCACACAGTCTTTTTTACACGATTTTGAAATAAGATGGTTGAAGAAAACATTCTGACACGATTTAAAAATTAAAAATAAAATAAAAAATTATTGTCAGTATGAGCAAATGAAACAAAAGGAAGAAAGAGAGTTGATGAAAAGTAATTTGTTAGTTCACATAAGGTTTTCAAGTATTGCATCATTCTATCAGTTTATTTTTGAAGTATCATTAGCTCATAGTATTTAGATTGCTTGAGTGCTTTAGATTGAGAATTTGGTGCAAACAGAGGTAGATCTAGATTTTTCGGGGCCTAGGGCTTATTGTAGTCCATTTTTTGTTATATATAATGTTATGTTATAAATAATACTATAAATTATTATTATTATATTATTAATATTAACTATTTTATTTCTATATAATAAGTGCTCATTGTTAATGAAAAAGTGTTAAAAATTTATGATGATAATTCAGTTTTTGTGGGCCCTTGACACTTGGGGTTCGAGGCTTAAGCGCTATTAGTCCCTATGTAGATCTGCCCCTGGGTGCAAAAGATGATACTGGATTGTGGATGGAAATATTATAAAGCATAAGACACTACAAATTTATAAAAAAGTACAGGAATCGGAATCATCAATGAGTCTTAAAGCAACTTAACGTAAAAAAAAATTTTTTTCTAGTGAAAGATGTCTGACAGGATTCCTAAACATAAATGCATTTCACAATATTAAAATTAAAGGATAAATCTGCATCTGCAGATAAAAACACTGCCAAGAACTTTCCAGAAAAACTATCCAAAATAGTAAGAGAGGGTGGTTATGTTCCTGACCGGATTTTCAACAATGATGAAACAGATCTATACTGGAATAAAATTTTTGGTCACTTTTTACACAGTTTTTTGAATGAAATATAATTATTTATTTCATTTCACATGGGTTTTAATTAATAACTTGGAACATATCTCCCATTTTACTATAGGAAACATCAGCTGTGCATGATTTTTTGAGGAATGTATCTTCTGTAAAAATCAAATTGGGTATAATTGTTACCATCTCTAAGGCATACAATACAGAGCAAGTTCTCTATGCAGTCCTGAGTAAGTCGTCTCATTAGGAGAAATTCAAAATCATATTTTTTCCACTAATTCTCTTCGCAATAAGTGCATTTATGTTCTCTAGCTGTTGAAAACCTGAAATTCTCTCAAGAACGATGTCATTTCATTTACAGTTTGCAGGGTGGTGAATCATCTCTGAAATCCAAATTGACAGAAGCACACAAAATGTCATATTCCTTGTAAACCACAAAAGAATCGCATACGTCTCAGAGATTGCACTAAACCAGGTCAGAAGATGGCAGTGCTGTCACTTTTCAGAGCCAAGTGGAAGGAGTTTCGTGTATTAGTATATATAGTATTTGATAATACTTTAATAATATATTAATTGTGATTACTTAAAAATGTATTGNTTCCGCGCGGCACATCCGAACATGTAAGCCGAACAATAGTACGGGGGGGAGCGAGTAATCAAAAGTTGCGTGGTGCTCAAACAAAAGACGGATCGACGAGATATGAAAATTGCGTAACTAAGGGTTCGCGTAAGTCGGAGTAGCGTAAGTTGAGGTATTACTGTATATGAGAAAATAAATACAATTTTTTAAAATCTTTATATTCTTTAGCTAATCAACAATGGCTTAATATAAATTTTGCTGAACAAAAGCACACCTATATATTTCTTTATCACACTAATATTACTCAAAAACATTTAGTTGTTAATAATATGGAAAATGATTTCACTTAAATCTTTTCAAACTTACATATACAGTGGAACCCCAGTTAATGAACGTCCTGGTTAACGACCAAATATCGGTTAACAAACTTTTATTTTGCAAAAGTTTTGTCTCAGATAACTAACTTAACGGCTTTTTGTGTCAAATTTGTAAGCGTGCCAACTTTTAGGGAGAATCAGTTAAGTTGGTGGTAGCGGAGGAGACAAAGATTACAAGTATTTTACAGTGAAAATCGTTTATTAGTATGGGAAGATTTTTATATATTTGAGATGGTTGGAAATGGCTTATCTACAGTATTTTCTCCCGGCACTTAGGCGTGGCTTATCACTGGTCCTATGATAGTGCAAGCTGATCAGTTGTAGCCCCAGAACGGATGAGATGGGTTCACTTGGTCACAGAAACTATGGTAGGTGACAGAGCTGCAATGACTGGAGCAGTCCACGAGACACAACACAAATTTTAGCGGGCACGATTTCAGGCTTAATCCAGATGAAGACAACACAGATTAATCACCATAGAATTTTTAGGAAAACTGCGATTTGACCTTGAGATTCGGGGTTTTTATAGTATTTCTTCCTTGAATCTCACCTTACGATTAGTCCTGCGTCCCATTCCTCGCTTCCCGATTGTTTTCTTCTTTGTCTCCAGGTGAAAACCAAAACCAGATCAGGTCACGAGAAAGGTTTGTTCCGAGGCGTTTATTTGACACCTGTTCGTCGACTCTGATCGGAGATTGTTGATAAACATATAAACCTTTCGCTCATAATTTAGCCTATTGTTTCTGCTATCTGTCATTTTAGAACTTTAACGATCGTATGCGATGTTTTTATATCTGTCAAATCGTTCCCCTTTTCCAAAAATTTAACCTAGATCAACTGTTTATGACCACTTCTGTCAGAGTTTCATCTTCCCCACAGACATTCCACCTAATCCGTTATATCATTCGTTTTCGTGTTGTGTTTGTTTTGACAATTACAGTACAGTTTTTTCCTTACTTCTCCCTGATACTGTTATAGTCAGACTTAACAATAGTGTTTTCGCTTTTAACATGTGGATATTAAATTATATTGGGTTGATGCAAAAGTTCAAACCGTTTTTTTGAAAAGAATCAAAGAAAACCCATTTTACAAATAAAATTACAAAAATACTGATGGCTAGAACAGATGAATTGTATTTGCATTAATTTCTATGGGAAAAATTGCTTCGGTTAACGAACGGACTTGTGGAATGGATTACTATCGTTAACCGGGGTTCCACTGTACAATGGATGATCATAAAGTATCCCTTTTCAATGCTATCTAGAGAGATATTGAATGGTCCAAATGCAACTGAATTTGATATGATGATATTTCAGGATGTAAAAAATACTTCTGTAAAAAAATTATTACTAAAACTCACCACTATGGCACTTTTTGTACTGCAAGCAACAAACATTTTATTTGTACAAGATAGTTGTGCTATACAGGAACCTTAGTGATGCAAGGGACCAAGTGCTGCTCAATTTGGTCCCTATTCTGAAGGTGTAAAAATCTGAAAACAATTAGCAGAGTTCAATGCCAAGATAATTTGTTCTCTGTGATGCTTCCTCAATAAACCACACTTTTTTTAAGTATCCTCATAAACAAAAATCACACAGATTAAGATCTTGGACACAAGGTTGCCAAGTGGTAGAAAATTCACAACTAATCAGTGACTTTATCAGTGAAATGCTGTATGCAGCATCCAATATATGGAGGCATTCCATCTTGCATGAAAATAGTTGACTCAATACATTCTCACTGTTGTAGTTGGGCAAGTGTTGAGCATCTCTCAGCATCTCTGGATCATCACAATTCATGTTATAGATCCATTGGGACTAGATTTTTTGAAGAACAATGGCCTAAGGATAAAGTGAATTTTTTAGATCAATTTTTCCCAAATTTTTCTGACTAGAAACCAATAATTTTCTGAGATTTTTTTTTGAAGTCCTCTGCAAAATGATATTGAGCATGTATAATAATTTCCATCCTAACTAGCATCTTACCAAGTTTGTGATTTTTGTGCAATATTATATAATAAGATAACATTTAGATCTTTATTATTAAGATTTGAAAAAATCAAATTGATTTTAATTAGAATACAAAGAGCAAAAAGTAATAAATTTCTAATTTTAAGTTTTATTTTGACCAGTATTTTTTTCCTGTCTAGTATTTCGGACCTGAAAGATTTATACTTTGGAAAATGCTGTTTTAGTGTCTAAACTCAATAAACCTTTGTTAATATTAATATGTAGTTGGATAATATGGATGTTTAGAAAACACAAGTAAAAATTGCAGTTCTGACTACAATGCACAGAATGTAATGAGGTTTCTCTTGATTTAAATGTAATTCAATGAATATATATTTCCTACTGATTTTTAGTTCTGAAATCAATAATCTTATGCATAATATCAATAAATCATCTGTAGTTTTGCACAGCGCTTTTTTTGTCATAGAATGCAATGGAACGACGTTCCAACACTTTTTTTCAATATATATTAAAAGTTTTAAGAGAATTTTTGAAAATTGACATTTGGTCTGCGTTGAATCTCTCTAAATCGGCAACAAAATTGTTAAGACAGTCCTGCTCCTGCTTGTGTGCCAAATCTTGTGTACGATGCATGTAATATATTTTTAACAATGAGTTGAGTGTTTTACCTCTTTTTTTCCCCCCCAAAAAAGCACTGGTCTTGCATTAAATCATGTCATTACCTTTCCTTTTACTGCCCACAGAGCATAAAATGTGAAAAACTAAAAAGTATAATAATAAAACGCATCATTGTGTCTCATCGTATACTTTTTAATACATACATTTAAATTCTTTAGATCCTTTAGAATTTATGCTTAAGAAGAATTTACCATAAGCGAAATGCAATTCTGAATTACTTTACAAATTTATAATTGATGACAACCATTAAAATAGTTAAGGCATCAGCCTACTAATATGGGACTCACAATTATATCTGGGTGGGAAAACTCAGGAATTTTTAATGGGTGGTCTGTCCCAAATATGTTAAACTTATTCCTCACCATTGTTTGCTCCATTGTAAGTCTGATCAAACTGATTATGGGCATAGAAAAAGATTTATTTAGTGTCCAGTGTGAAGAGAGTCAAAAATAAAAAGAAAAGTTGAAATTTTGGTATATATTTTTAATGTAACTGAAAATTTTATTTGGAATTATTAATATTGCCATTATCAAATTTAATAGTTTTGATATGGTATAATCACTGACAAATATTTTAGCTATTACAATCTGAAAATGATTGAATGACACAAACTTCTTCATTTTTATTTAATTAATTTTGTAATTTTTATAGTTGCATTTTATAATTTACTGTTTTTTTTTTGTTTTTTTACTTTAAGCTTTTTATTGCTAAAGAGTTTGGTGCTGCTGGATTAATTTTATTTCCTTATCAAGGAATATTAAATGCATCAATTAATAGTTCTGCAACAAAAGATGATCAAGTGCATTCTGGCCGTTGTAGTGAATTACTTCATATCAAAGAAATATCATATGAAGGTACAGTTAATTTTAATATTAGTTACTTAAATTGTAAATTATGACTTAAAAAGTGTGACAAAACTCAAACATAGAAATAAGAATAAGGTTTATCTTTTTTAACTGTTCAGCAAAAAAGAAAAATAAGTATAAATTATTATTATTGGTATCATTTTCAATAATAGTGCAAGAATGATAAGCATAATTAAAGAGCAGGTATTTTAACCACTCTGCAGAAAGGACTATTGGGAAAATCACAATTAAATTTGATATATATATACTTGTCTTGAGCATTTGGTTTTGATTTTTGAGAAAAATTTCCTTATTGTATACTGGCACGATGAAGTGACCGTTTAACCAACACTTGGCAAGTTTTCCATTTTTATTTAGTTAGAATATCCCTTATTTAGTTAGAATATAGGGATATTCTAACTAAATAAAGATGGAAAACTTTGCCAAGTGTTGGTTAAACGGTCACTTCATCATGCCAGTATACAATACATAAATAACAACACGGTTTCAATAACAACAAAAATTTCCTATTTGTCTTTGGATGACGATATATAGAGACACTACCATTGTGGCATAAAGTTAAGAGTGGGAACTCTTGGATTTGAAAAAAATAATAATAACTTGTTAATTTAATTACACATAAAAAGTATTTTAAAATAACAGGGTGTTAATTTTCACAAGTGACATACAGACTGGAAATTTTGTCTGTTAAATCCAAAGTTTATTAGATCGAGGTCCGTTAAATTGAATTTCTACTGTAATTAAAAAAACTAAACGTGCATTATAATTATTTGTGTGTGAAGACTGTTGTTTACATTATTTTCACATTTTTGTTAATTTTAAAATGAAATATTTGTATAGCATTTACAATTTTGAAAATAACTCAGGTTTGTTATATACATATAAATTTTATCATGTTAAATATAAATTTATTTATCTATTCTATAGAAGATGGGCAACTTAAGACATCTTTTCAGATGATTCCGGTTTTTCTTATTTCATTTGAAGATGCTACTAATTTTTTAAGGTAAAAGATATAATAAGTATTATTTTTAATATTTTACTCATAAATAAATTACAATACAATAATTTGATTTAGTTGTACATTCATAATAGTATACCAGTGTATAAGCTGAATTTCTAATCCTGAAAAAAATCTCTCCAAAACTTTGGGAGATTATTTTTCCACGATTAGAAATTCAGCTTATACACTAGTATAAACAGTATATAAATATTAGTTTATATCGTAATATATGTTATTGTGTTAATTGAGCCTATATAAAACAAAACTAATATGTATATAAAAATCAGTGTGCAAAAAATACACAAATTAACCAACAGTTTTTAATTGTTAATTGAAAAACTGAATTTTCATTTAAACAAATTGCATAGATTCTTATAAGATTTCCTTGAAGAGCAGAACTATAAATTTTCATGTGTGTGTCAAGATGTGTGTACAAAAAAAAAATCTATTACTGAAGGGTATAAGATTAATTTAAACATAGAAAAATATCATTAACAAATAAATTTTAACATCAAAACATTATTTTAATAATTAGTTTTTGGGGTTAACATTGTTTTAAAATATTGATAATTATGTAAATACAGGTAACCCCCGTATAACACGGCACTTCTATAGCACAGATTCACTCTAACACGGTTAGAGAATTGGTACCATCCCCCATATAACACGGCACTTTTATAGCACGGATTCACTCTGACACGGTTCGAGAATTGGGTAAAACCCTCGTACAACAGGAAATGTAATAAACTTTTACATACTTAAGTACTAATAGTTCACGAAAATTATTATTTTTGTGAACTATTAGTACTTAAGTATGTAAATTTTCTCTTCTCGCCTTCTGTCGATACACATGGTCCTTCTCGAAACTTGTTTCAATGTTGCCAGATCGCGACGCTTCTGCTTCTGATGTTGCCGAATGTTTTTCCCTTATTCCATACTTGCTTTATTCTTCATAAGTGCTTAGCACCATGTAAGGAAATTTATAAAGACCTTTTAACTAGAAGCAAGCAATCTAAAATTACATACTTTTTGCAAAAGGTAAGCATGGATCTGAAAATAATGCAGAAAAATGCTCAGAGGATAAGGATAACTTACCAAAAAGAAAATGCTCTTGGTTAATTAATAGTGTTTTTAGTGATGATGAAGAAAACATTGTTTAATTTATATTAATATGTATCACTTAAAAAAATTTTAATGAAGATAATTATCTTGATTATGAAAATATACTAGCATGTTTTTTTAATTTTTGGAACCTAACCCTCCTTTTCGTATTAATTCTTTGTTTCGTATAACACGGATTCGCATAACACGGCAATTTTTTGGAACGTAACTACCGTGTTATACGGGGGTTACCTGTAAAATATTTTTTTAAACACCTATTATTTATTTAATACAAATATACTTTATTACATGTTTGTAGAATATTAAATGCTTATTGTTAAGACCTATTATTTATTTTACAAGGAAAAAAAGGCTCTGTATAAAAAATATGAATTCAATAGCTTTCATACAGCTTTACAATTATTTCTGTTGTAAAATAAAGCATTTGGTAATAAATATAAAATTACTTATTTCAGACAAATGGTGGGGCCAAAGTTTCCTGATAATTGGATAATTAATGATACATTTTCTTATAAACTTGGACCAGGATTTGAAAATAAGAACAAGTAAGTAAAATAATAAATAAAACAAATTTAATAAATTGAGCAAAGTGAGAAAAATATTAATTTTAAAAAGAAAATTTAACATTTAAATAAATCAAGAAGATAATTAAATTAACCAAATTTTTTCCATATTCAATGAATATTAATTAATTAAGATAAATTGTGAGGAAATTTAAAAATTTAACAAAATTATTTAACAAGTTCAATAATTTTTTATAAACTAAGAAAAAAATGTTTTTAAAGTATGAAGAGTCTAATATTTTATAGCTTACACTCATTTTTAAGAATGCCAAAACAATTAAATTAATTTTATTTATATACAATATCACACTAGTGGCTGAGAAAGTTAAGTATCTCAGTTTGTTTTATCATATTTGACAATTTTTATATTTATTATATTTAAATAAATCTTATTAGTTCATGAAATAATAAATTAAACTAAATATTCATGATCAAAGAAATGGGAATTTAATTTCAGAAGTAAAAAATCCAGCAACATTTAAAATTTTGGTATCGCCATCAGTTATGATATTTTATTTTAAAAATGTTTTATATTTTTAATTATTATAAAATGGCAAAAACCTTAATTTTGAGGGTAGGGAAGGGTTTTATAAAATATTATAAATACTAATAATGAGTACATCATCATTCATAAGTCCAACCGTACTTGAGATATGACATACAACCCCCCTTTATTTCTCCAACCCCGCGACCTTTAACCACCGAAATTTAATATCATCGTTCTCCTTAATACACAAAACTTCCTGAGAAATTTAAGAAATTTTCAACAAAAAGAAAAACACACAGGAATTGTCAAGCTTCAGAGAGGGCAAACAAAATCCTGCCCACTATACACATTTACCTACAGACATACATTCATACATACAGAAAAAAATCCCCAAAAAAATTTCTTCACATTTCAAGGTCCCGAGGCCATAAATGCAAAAATCTTGGGGGGTCATTTTTTTGACTGATTGCCATACTTTCCCTCTGTTATATTGATATATAACGGAGCCAGGGAAGTAAAAATACTTTTTAAAAAATAAATATAAGTTACTAAATTTTTTCAGCATTTGGAAGATGTACAGGTACTTTGTCATAAACATCATATATTTTAGCTGCTCTTTAAATATATTACATTGTTTTTTTACATATTGTTTTATTATAATTTAGCTTATAATGAATAAACCATTAACATGTAATAAATCAGATTTTTTTTAAAATAAAAGAATAAAACTGGAAATTAAAATTGAAAATGACAGAAATCAAACTGATTATATTATTATTGGAAAAATTTTTGGAGGAAGAGAAACAGGTAACAAGAATTAAATGAATAAATCATTAGTATTAAATATTAAAATATTATGTTTATTAAAAATATTTCTTAATTTTTATTTAAGATCGATCAGTGATGATAGGAATGTCAAAACAGTTTGGACAATTAAGAGGAATTTCTACTTTATTAGAAATTGCACGCATCTTTGGAAACTCAATAAAGAATGGTGAGTTTTAAAAATTATATCAGTAAATTTTTATTCTAAAGTGTGACTAAATATTACTTATCAATTAAAATTATTGAAATTAGTTTGTATAATGACGTAATATTTTAAATTTTCCATCAGCTAATTAAACAATTAAAAACAATATGCTTAAGAAATTCTTAGAATCACAACTATATATGGAAAAAAGTTATTGAGATAAGAGTTTAATACTTTCCAATTTGTGATTTTAAAATTTTAGACTGTAATCAATAATGTTTTTAAACATTTCAAAAGGAAATGTTTAAAAAAAGATCATTAATTGAGGCATTTGATAGAAATAACATGTCTAAGATTACTTTGGTCCCTTACTTGTTTGTTAATTTTTTTGATTTTCTTGAGTGGGTTTCATGGTTGGTTGTTTTCTCCCATAAAACAAGTGACACACATTTTCCATTATTCTTTACTAATTTGTTAACATACATTACTAAATAGTGTTAATTTTGAACATGGTCTCTATAAAATGCATTCAACTTTGTGTAAAAGAATTTTTTACTAAAACAATATGGATTCTTTTAATAATAAGGGTGAAATTAAAAACAAATGGGAAAGAAAACACCTCATAATCCAAGTTTTTGGAAAGATAATGAAAGAAACTGGAAAGAAAAATTTAGGGAAGTCTTTCATAGGAAAGGAGGTTTCTGGAAAGGAATTAAGAGAAAGTAAATTAAAGCTTGTTGTAAAAAGAAATTCTTCTATTTATTTCTTGAATGGGACATTACAGTATGCATATTTGACTGTAATATTTCTTTCCTTTAAAGTTTATTTGTACATTAACCAATTTCAATAATTTTTGTTAAGTTTGAAAATAAAAAATAAATTAAATAGAGTTATTTTGAACATAATTACATATTTAAAATTATTTCATAAAAATCTTGTTAGCATACATCTTAAACTTTTCACATTACTTATTCAGAAAAATATCAATTTTAACTTTGTTAAATATATTCTATTACACTACTTATAAAAAATTTTAGTTAATTAAAAAAAGTTATATTAATCTTGTCATCATCTTTAGAAAATAAATGGAATAATTAATTACGCATGTTTTAATTAACTGATGACAAATGAAAGAGCAGTATTTTTATCTTTTATCCATTTTTTATCCATCCATGTTGTTATTACATTCTTCTTGGGAGTTTGGAAACTGGTTCATTATTTCAGGCTTTTTACGTTTGAGCCTTTTCCCAAAGGAATCGGGTCTACATATCACTTCTCTTGGCAAAGTATACATTCTTCTTAATTGAAGTTTTTAGACTATTTACAAAAAATTAAAATTTTTCGACTCTATCTTTTAAATCCCTTATTGTTGTTGTTAAGTTCCATCGAGTCGTCGTCGACTCCTGGTGACTTCATGGACAAGTCTTCTCCATCTTGATCTTTCCCTTGTTGTTTCTCGTAGCTCCTCCAGCTTCATTTCTGTGACTTTTTCTATTTCTTCTATCCATCTTATCCGTTGCCTTCCCCTCTTCCTTCTACTTTCCACTTTTCCCAGCATAATAGTCTTCTCTAGGGAAACTTCTTTACGCATCACATGTCCAAAGTAGGTCAATTTTTGTTTTAAGATTCTTGACTCTAAGGAGAAGCTTGGCTTCACCACCTTCTAAATCCCTTATACACCACCACAGAAGTAACAGTTTTAAAAATTGCTTTTGAAGAAAACTTCTAATCAATGAAGAAAACGCTTCTAAAACAGGTAAAAATTGGTAGAAAAAGTCCACAAAGTTAAAAAAGATCAAGTGCCAGCCTTTTCTTTTAGGTTCTGACACTTTTTACATTAAAACCATGATGAATTCTTCATACCATCTTATTTTATCCACTTTTAAACTGCTTCTGGCCCTCTAGTGGTAGTTACGAGTAATCCACATTATTTGCATACAGTTACAATTTTCGTGATAACTCAGGATATATTTTTTCTTTTTAATTTTTCTTCTTTTTTTTTTTAACTTTGTGGACTTTTTCTACCAATTTTTACCTGTTTTAGAAGCGTTTTCTTCATTAGAAGTTTTCTTCAAAAGCAATTTTTAAAACTGTTACTTCTGTGGTGGTGTATAAGGGATTTAAAAGATAGATTCAAAAAATTTTAATTTTTTGTAAATAGTCTAAAAACTTCAATTAAGAAGAAAAAATATATCCTGAGTTATCACGAAAATTGTAAAAGTATACATTGTCATTTGAGTCAACAGTCTGTATATTTCTAATATACATTCATTTAAAAGAGAAAATATTACTTAGTATATACAGACTATTATACAGTACATAGATATTACATAACTAGCCATTTAGGACATTCCAATTCTTAACACTGACTGAACACTGACCTTGACGTTCGTTAAGTCTTTTTTTTTTTATTTCAACGTTGAAGTTGCGCTGTTTTCAACACTGACTCAGCACACTCAGCACTCAACAGATATGGTGACTGTTATTTTCCAATGAATTATGGGTAATTGGTATGACAATTGAATGAAATCCATCTTGCTGAGAATGGAATTATGGGAACTAAGCACTTCATACTTGAAGTTGGAACGCTGCTGATGACATCAAATTGTTGGTTTCAACACTCAACACTTGTGTTGAAAATTGGAATGTCCCGATTGCGTCTGTTGTCTTTTGTGTTCATATTTCTTATTTAAATCAGGTATTTGGACTAACAAAAGGTCAAGAACCATTCCATATGATTGAAAAAATCTTGCTGTTTTTGTTGTACAGATACTACAGACAAAAATTGCTGACAGACCAAGTAACTTGTGTTTGAATGGGTTATAGTGTTGTTTATATATCTATTGGCCTTCTAATAAAGAACTCAAAACTCTGCACTTTGTCTAAGTGAGGCTTAGCTTAATCATACAACCATCAATTAATAATGTTTAATCCCAACAATAACATTTAACTTTTCATTAACAATTTTCTAAATTATTTACTGCCCATTAGGAGAAGTTATAGTGTCTTTGTCCATTTAATGCTAAGAGTATATGTTCCTTTCTATTCTTCTCTTGCTATGTCTCTAAATTAAAACACTTTTTTTAATCTTAAAATGTTAAAATGTAATTATTTTATCGAGAAGAAATTAACTTTATTACAGAACATAATATTTAAATAATTTTGTTTAATAAAAATCTGTAATTTAATTTTAAATTTTATAGGAAGAAGACCTAGAAGAAATATCTTATTTTGTGTATGGGGTTTTTCTGATATAGAATCCTTTAGCTTTTACAAATGGATAATAGTAAGCATTGCTATTAAATTTTTAATAAAAATTTTATATTTTTAAATGTCATATAATAATATATAAAGTATATAAATGTAACATCTAGTAACTGAGTGGCTTAAATAACTAATTTTTATGGCTCTCAAACCCGCTTTTCTTGTGGATGGGTGTCAAAATGTGTTTCTGACATGGAACCTTGCATTAAATCCATTGTCNAATTTATAAAAATTTTATATTTTTTAATGTCAAATTTTAATATTTTAAAACTTTATTAACACTTTGATCATTATAATTATTTTTTTCTACTAAATATTAGATATAATTATTATATATATAGTTTGGAAAATATTTTAATAATGATAAAAATGATTACATTTGTTGAAAATGTTCATATTCTATAGCATTAATGTTATAATATGGTATCATTTATTCAACTGTGCTTATGATATTTTTATTAATGTACAATTGCATAATATAGTGAAAATCAATGTTGAAATTTTGTATGTTTAGAAATAAACGAATGAATATAAAAGTATATTTATAAATATTTGAGGAGCTTAGCGGAAAAATGGCATATTACAAAATGCAAAATTACAAAATAATGAGTTATTAACAAATTTGGATTTGTGCATCATTGATCCATCTTCTAAGAAATTTTTATGGTTCAGATGCATGCCCCGTAGGTTGTATAAATCATTAATAATACATTGCATATTAAATTTTTGTTGAATTCATCCTCAAATCTTCCTTTTTTTTCAAAAATTCGTAATGTGATATATGCCATTTTTCCACCAAGTGTCTCAATTTTAATAAACAAAACTGTTTATTTTTATTTCAGGAGAATCATAAGAAGTTAGAAGGTGAATTAGTTTCATATATAGATGTGTCATCTTTAAAATCTCCCAAAATAACAAGTTCACCATTACTGTATGAAAAAGTTTTAAATATTATAAATAAAGTAAGAGAATTTTTTTATATTTACACTGTTCAGAATTTCAGTACAGTAATACCTCGACTTACGCTACCCCGACTTACGCGAACCCGGAGTTACGCTATTTTCAAATCTCGTCGATTCCTCTTTTGTTTGAGCGCTACGCAACTCTCAATTACTCACTCCCCCCACACTATTGTTCGGCTTACATGTTCGGACGTGTCGCGCAGAATCGACATATAGCTACAATTTATTTTGTGTTATTTATTTCTGTATTTGTTATATTTACGGAGATTCGAGAGACTCTATGTGGTGATTTCTTGTAACCGTGAACGAATCAAAAGACGAGATAAGATTAACGAGAACATTTATTAGCTTACATACATCCGACTTGAATTTTACACAAATTGTGAAATTATACCCCGACTTACGCTGTTATCGCTCGGTCCCACCTATCGCGTAAGTTCGGGGTATTACTGTACATTATTTAAAATGTATACTTTGATTATCTGGGTAATGTGGACCAATGCTAGCTTGGATAACTAAAAACACAGATAAAATGAATATCTATGGCCATTTCAGCTTTAAAATTGAAAATATAAAAGATTTATATAGTAGCACTTTTAAGCTACTTTTTATACCTTATGTAAGAACAACATTTTTTTTACGTTATTTATTCTACAGCTTAAATATATAATAGTTTTAAGAATAACATGTATAACAACCTGATGCAAATAATATTGCCAAATGACACTCAGGATCAGTGGTGCACTCGGGATTTAATTTTGGGGAGCCAAGTTGAATAGATAAAAAATTTTTTAATACAAATTGAATAAAATTCCGGCCTTATGTGACTACTTATTCGCAAGTAGTTTAGAAATAGAAGACACCACAGAATATAACTAAAAAAATTAATTTAATTACTAGAAAATTTTCCAAAAACCTTTTCCTGTTTGTTTTCTAGTTTTCTTGCAGGATGCCAGGGCCCTAGGCCCCCTCTGTGTGCACCATTACTTTGAATTATCTAAATTAATTAACTAAGTAATAGCTCTGAAAACAAAGATGATACATTTGAATACAGGAGTGCCTCATACTTCATACAGTAGACCCCCCTATAACATGGGTTCATACAAGACAGATTTGTATAACACGGCGTCAGAATTGTGATAGTGTTCTTATAACTCACTAAAAGAGGCTCATATAACATGGTAAAAGAATGAGACAGATTGTCATGGCCAACTTGTGTCTCGACAGGATTGGTCGAATCTGGACCAATAGTGGACATTGCACAAACCATTGAGTTTAAACGAGCAACAGACCTACAAAAAACATTTATTATTCAATAGCCATAAAAGTTATATTTCTATTAATGAAAGTCTCCAAAGTTCAGCAAATTTTTCGCAGAAAGAATAACTTATCAGGAAACGCGCGTCTGCCGTTTGATGAGCCACTCTGTGACGAAAACAAGCTTAAGCAATGGCGTCTTCGAACGGTGCGCACTCAGTAAGTAATGCTATAATTTTTTGTTTATAGCATAGTTTATATGGATTATTCTCAAAAATTTATACATGTTTTGGAAATGTTGAGTCAAATTAGTCTAGAATTGATTAATTTTATGGAAGAAAACCTTTCAAACAGCCATACCCCCCTAAACTGCACAAGTGCCGGGCTATGAACGGCTCATGTATTTGTAAAATCTAAGTGATTCATACAACACGGAATGTATCTACCGTGTTATAGGGGTTCTACTGTATTTAATTCACTCCAGGAGCTGTTTGAACTCTGAATTGTTCAAAGTCCAAATCAATTTAACCCATTGGAAATAATGGAAAGCGAATTAATCTATTCTCAGACCCTAAACAATACACCTTTCAATAAACATAAACAGCAAATACACATAATTTAAGGTAAAAATAACACAATTAAATGCTATGAATAATAACTTAAACCATGAACACAATAAATAAAATACATAACTACTGTATAATAAAATAAAAATTGCATTTATTGGTCACACACTGGCAACTGTGGCATCTTAAACATGGCCATCAGATCTCCACATGTGTACTGCTTTCTTGCTTTGTGGTAAGTTCCTTTTACACCTCAATCATCAATACTACAACCTTCAAAGATAGGATTATATATATGATCAAACATATAAAAAGTAAAGAGAAAAAAGCAATGAAAACATATGAGCATGTTGTGCATCCAAGCGTGAGAGATAACTTGGATTCACAACAGATGATGTTTATGCAGCAAGTACATTTTTCACTGTATTTTCAAATGTAAAATCAGCATTTGAAATCTGAAATGTTCAAAGTTAGAATCATTTAAAGTATGAGGTACCATTTGTACATATCAAAAAACGTTCGAATTGTATAAATATAATGTAAATATTATATAAATTGTTTCATTTATATATTAACACCAAGAAATTGTATTTTAAAACCATTGAACTAGTTCTGTTATCTTGGAATACTTTTCATGACATAATATCAAATTAAATTCATACTTTTTAAACTCTTATGCTTATATTTCAATAATAACTATAAAAATATTCCCTGAGATATATTGGAGTGTCTTTACAGCTGCATACTTATATAAAGAAATGTTGTCAATGGTCATATTTTTATATCACTTTGTCATAAAATCTGTTTTCTTTATAAATTATAATTTAAAAATACAGCTAATGAGACAAATTTTTCTATTTATGATGATAATATATTTATAAATTAGTTTTATTCTTAAAGATATCCAAAATAAACAAAATAACAAAAGAAAAAAATTCAAGATGGCTGAAGAAGATTAATGATGATATACCAGAGTAAGTGTAAAATTTTATTTAATTAATGTTTTAATATTTAAAGTTAGGCCCTAATTATAGTTTATATAAAGACTAAATGTTCGTGAAATCTACAGTTAAGGTTTATACATAAATTAAATTAATATTTCTATTTAATTTTTTATTTTAATCAAACTTATTTTTAAAATAATTTTGCATTTATATTCAAAATTATTTGTCGAAAGCAATGTCATAGCATATTTATATTAGAGTATATTTGCTGGTATATTTTTGAATGTTTTGTTGGTGTTATTTAAAAAAAAATTAAAAACTTTTGTGTGCGCTTGTACTTGAGCAGCATCATGAATTATCTTTTTGTCAACTGTTTTTCTAATCTTTTACTTGCAATTAGTCATACCAAAGTATCCACGATGTAACTGATGCATTTAACTAATTGTATAATTGTAATAGTTTTTCTTATCAAGGGCAAATGCTTAAAATATTTGGTTAGATTTACCTTAGGTAGCCAACATGGTCGCGCTTCCGACGGGACTCCTCCCAGACGGGAGCTGCTGGCAGGCCGCTGAGTGACAAACGTCACTAGTTATTGATTCACAATAGTTCTTGAACAAAATAAAAAAAAAAAAGGGAAACGTCTACTAAAAATGTAGCTAATCTAACCGAAACAAACCTAACCGAAGCGCCGCCATTTTGGTTACCTAAAGTAAATTTGGCCCAAACAATAAGTAAATGTAATAATAGAACAGAAAAATTTACAATGTTGCAGTTATTTTTCTTTCAGTCCTGAAAAACAGTAAGAAGGGTTTTTTTCCTTGCTCATTATGGGTGTGACCAGGTCCGAATATACTATTCTATTGTAGCCAGGTTATTAATGACTTGACATATCTTTGCCAAGATATGCCATGTCATTTCATAAGTGGTTTTACCTGACCAACCATGAAAATTTTCAGAATGATTTCCATATTAATATATTGATGTACTGATGGTTGAGGTAGCAAAGGCAATAATTATCTTATATAATAAAATATCAATAATTAAATATTCATGCAGTGCATTATTTGATATATTGAATTTTAATAAAATTATTACTATTATAATTACTAAAATTTATGTGTAATTTTTGTATTTTTTTTTTGTAGAAATTGCATTGAAGGAAATAGTTTTGATCCACTTTATTTTAAATTTGGAATTTCAACTATTCATTTTAAATTCAACTGGAATTTGGTAAGTTCAAATTTTATATTTCATAATAAAAATATATTTAATTAAATTATACTCAAAATTTTTAAATCTATGTTTGATATCTTTAAAAATTATTATTATTATTATTATTTAATGATTTTTTTGTAAATATAAAAAATGCATCTTAGACTTTCAGTATAAATTATTACCTGAAGCAGCTCTATAAATTAGGTTGAAAATGTAAGCAGAAAAGATTAAATGTTTGCTGGAAGTCTAAGGTATTTTTTTTTTTATTATTATTTGAGATTTTATCCAGTTTTTGTAATTTATAATTTTTTGTATAAAATAATGCTTTTATTTAAAATTACATTAAATATTATATACTGATTTTTTTTTTGAATATATAAATAAATTTCTAATCTATCATTTTAAATGTTTATTGATTTTACATTAAACTCATTTAAAGAAATAATGAACATTCTTAATTTCTTTGTGTAACTAAAATTAAATGCTTCTTCAATGAATGAATGTTGTTTGGAAGGAAAAAGTTCAAAATAAATAAACATATTCAAACAAAGAAATTAATTTTTAAAGACTGAACCGAGTTTCAGAAACATTGTTTCATGTTTTCTTAATTAAAAGTTGTATAAGTTCTCTGTTGCAAAAGTTATACAACTTTTAAAAACTTGTTTGAAAAGTAGTGGTAATTAATCCAATGGAGCTGATAGGATATTTCAATTCCTATCAGCACCATTCATTTTACAACACATCCTAGAAAGGATGTGCCAGACTTTCATCTTGGCTCCTAGTAGATAGACTCTTCAGATCATTAATAATCTGAAAACTACATTTTGGCATGCTATTTTAATAATTTAACCATTCAAAATGACTGTAGCTTTAGAACTGTAAATGCTAACCATATCATGGCAGGTGATGTTAAATCTAACACTGCAACCAGATTAGAAATTGAACAAAACACTCAGAAGCTATACCCGAAAGCATTACCTATTGGATTCTGTTAAAAATGCAAATAATAAATTGTTTTTACTTAAATATTTTTATTTTGAAATAATAAGATACTGTAAAAAAACATCTGGAATTATGTTTACCGTGAGTTTTTCCAATCAAATTCATTTTGTTTGACAATGAGTTATATTCAAAAACAACCAGGTTTTTGAATTGAAGACACCCTGAAACAATGCTTAGATTTGATTTTACATAAACAGTTTTAATGCAATAAATCAAAGGCCTAAACATCTAAAGGCCTGATTTTTGATTAAAACCGAACAATTGCCAAATTATATCAGGCAATTAATATAGCCTGATATAATCCAAAAATCATTTGGCTTTAATACTAGTTAATCCCGTAACAGTATTGTAAGAGTTCATTTACCAAGTTTCATATAAGAGCTAATTAATCTAATTAGACATTTAATGGAAAAACCATACTGAAGAGAGTTAAATGATCCCAAAAACATTAAATGGCAATTTATGAAATAGAGATGTTTGACAAACCGTTGTTTTGGCTAATTAGTTTTTATAGAAAAAACTTAGCAAACAATATATCATCTTTTTTATATTTTTATAGAATTAGGAAATTAAATAAATGAAATTTATAACCATAGTCAAAAGAATATATGTTTTTAGTTCTTATTTGTTTAAAAGAAGTAAGTAGCAAAAAAAAAGAAGGATGAGATCATATTTATTTTATTTTCTTATAAAATTATATATTAATGTACACATATATGCCTTTTAATTTTCAATTAAAAATTAAGAAATTCAAAAACAATTTTATGATTTTATTTCCTTCTGTTATTGAATTCATGTAACAAAAATCAAGAAGTTCCTCTTGATTTTTAATGATAAAATGATTGTGTATTTTAAAATATTAGACAAAATTATTACAGAGAGAAAAACATTAAGCAATTTTACTATTGTCAAGTGTTTCTGTTTTGAATATTTAATGGCTTTAAGTGCTTTAAACTTGTAACTGCCTCATTATTTTTCTTTAATTATGAAAATGTTGTGATTTTAATATAAAATCTGTGTTGTAGAAAACTTATCCTTATATTGGTTGTTTGCTCATAGTTATAGATTTGTACAGGTATTGGCACAGTAGCTAAACAAGCTGCAGTTTAGGAACTGTGCTATGAGTCTATTATGGTGAACATGTGGATGAACAATACAATACAAGGTTGTACACAATAAAATATTTTATTAACTGTTCATGCAGTTCTATATACACTAGATTCTTTGGGATCCTAACTATGCAACACCAATATATATATAAGATTTTTCTTTGATAGATCTTTGTATGAATAAAGGAGGGTGACACGTTTTCGTGACAATGGTTTTTTCCTGTTGAGATATCTTCCCGAAATATTATAACTAACTTAAACTATCTTAAACTAACTTATATTCTAAAGGAGAATTAGAGAAGGAAAGGATGAAATGAGATGTAAGAACAATAAGAAAAGAAAAGAATGCTGGTGGGATACCCGGGTTTTTCCTTTGTTTGATCTTCACTCTTCTCAAAACGAGGACTTGCACCGAATTCACTTCTCACCATCTTTTTCTCTATCTCAGATCTGATGATTCCTAAGTATTCAGCAAACTTTCAATTTTAATGTCTGTCTATTTCATTCGTTTCCCTGCAGATGATCCAAGATCTCTACGTCTCACTCAGCGACGACACCTTAACCTTTTTCTTTTTCCATCTGCTTCTTCTGAACGCTAGCTCAAGTATGCTTATCTCTCTCCCCGACTCACCTCAGGGTTTTTACATACTATTGTTTTTTGGTGTAAGTTCTCCGAAAACATGTTACCACCAGCAGGAAGGAAAGACCATTAGAAAGTTCGAGAAAAAGATATAGAACAAAAGACTAGGAAAACTTAATATTAGGCTTAACACTAAAGACATATACAAAATTATGGTGTATCACCACACTATACCTTAGAACTTCACACTTCTACACGTATCATTATTTGGTGGAGGGAAAAGGCCTGTTATGTTATAGCTTAGTCTTAAGTCTAGTCCTACATGTGTATAGTTAATCTTAGATGGAATTTATCACCTAAAGATCCATCGCAATTGCTGTTGTTGAATAGGAATGTTAAAGAGGTCCCTAAAGAGTTAGAATTTCAGAATTCAATGCTAAGCATATGCAAACTCCATCTAAGACTAAACATCTATGAGAATAATAGTAAACAAATTATTTACTCACTCTAAATTGTAACTAATGAAGAGAAGAATGGAGCACCAAATCAATATATTTTCTTTTTTTAGGCTGTAGAGAGAGAGGAGAATTATCTAAAATATGTTAATTTTAATTGATTATTTTCATATTATTATTTAATCTTGTAACATTTTCAAAATTGTTATTCTAAATATTGTATTACATTTTTTATTAAATATTATTTTGTAGTATAATGTGATATCGGGACAGATTTTGTTAGAAACAATTCAATCATTATCTGACGATTCAGTCCTTTCTTTTACTTATGAAGAATACATTTCTTATTTTAAAAATGCAACACATTATCTCAAGAAGCAATATAAAAATTTTTTTAAAGAAAATGGAATAGCATTAAGTGAGTGTGCTAAATAATAACTTATTTTAAATCATTTATAAATTGTTTAAATATGTTTCATTCTTTAATTAATTTTTTAAGATTCCCTTGAATTGGCTATTAAAGAATTTGTTCAAGTAGAAGAAATATTTATGAAAAATTTAAAAGTTAACTCTAAAAAGTAAGAACATTAAATTAATATATATTTGTTATTTATTTTTTAGAGCATATGTAATTGATTTAAACTTGATTTAAATTTTTATACCTACAAAAATCTAGGAATAGTAGGTCTTTAATACATATAGTAGACTTGGAAAATCTATAGGAAAATATCCTTTGAGAAATATTAAGATAATAATACAGTATATGCTGTTATATAGAAACAAGAAGAACTACAAGTATTAATTTTGAAAGTATGTAAATGAATAAAATTGAATGGAATAAGACTGTTAAAAAATTTCTAAATTAAAATTCTATTAAAATAGATGGCTTGGTCTTGTATGGGAAGTACCATGTGGGAGGCCATAGTCTATGACTGACTGAAAGTTAGCAAAAATATAGAATGGAGAGTTTGTTTAGAAGATATGATCTGGAAATTTTTCCACAGAATTCCTCCACACATAGTCAATCCCTTGGTAGTTTTGTTTATGTGGTGCTTGAAGATAAGTTTATTGTCGGAAGATGATACCAAGATCACTGACGTTATCAACAATAGCCAGATTATCATTATTTATTTTAAAAACAAAGTTATAGTTAGTTCTAATTAGCAGGAAATATATTGAAACAGTTTTATTGATGATAATTCTTAAGTTAAACTTCTGTAGATTGTGTGTCAAAGTATCAAGAATGTATTTTAAAGTGGGTGGGTTATTATTTATCTTGATGTCATCTGCATAAGTGATTGTAAGAGAGTAGATGTATTAATAATATCATTAATATAAACTATTAACAAGATACTACTAAGGATGGAGCCCTGTTGGATGCCTGAAAGGGGTAAAAAGTTCTAAAAAAGATATGCATTAATTCTAATTATGTATTGTTTTTAGTAGATAGTAGTTATTAAGTCAAGGTGTTATCATGGGATTCAGAATTAACAGATTATTGTGAGGTGGGGTAAAAAATCAGAGTCAATATTTAAAAACTTATATTCAGAAAATAAAGAAATAACATTACATATAGTTCTCTATTTTTTTTTTTTGATAGAGAATTAGGCAGATTTAGAATGAAATTTAAGGTTAGACATGTGAAATTTAGAGGACTTTTGAATAGACAGGAAAATAAAAAAAAGGACACCAAAAGAGAATCAAAGTTTCTACATGAGAGCAGAAGGGCTATATAGATATTCTGGGAAGATTAGGGAAATACTTAATAACAACCAGTTAGTGAGAAGGAAGGGGCATCAAGGAATTGAGTGATGAATTCCTGATGGCAAGCTTAGTTTAACTTAAAAAAAGGACTGTATTTGTTAAAGACACTGGAGAGAGAAAAAGTTACATTATTTATTTATTTAGAAATTAAATATACTTTAAACAGAAATTGTTTTTAGCCCTAGGTATGATTAAATTAATTAAAATATCTATAACCGTGAGGCAGATAATAGTAAGGGCTTATCACACTAATGATACGTGTGTAATACTTTAAACAGTTTATATATAAAAAGCAAATTAATATAATTATGATAAAATGAATTATATATAAAACCCAATACATGTTAATAATCAAACGATACAGCTGGATTTGTATTGAACTATAATACAGCTAATTCATCGTTAAGATAATAAATAATTTACACCAGAAATTGGCAGTCAAGCTGTCATCTCTCATATTAAATTTATCATTAGAAATATATAAATTTTAATTTAGAATATTCTGGAAGAAGAGATCAGCTTGGAGTAGGACTTGAACCCACAACTCCAGTCTATTGTGCCAGATGCATCATCAGTTATGCCAATATTATAGTCTAATAAGAATCCAGCTATATATTTTACTGTAAATTTAAATTATAAACTTGTAAAATATTCTATTTCAATTGTATTTAAATTAGAAATTTACTCCTTTTTAGATTATAAATTTACTATTTATTACTAGTTCTATTCAGATCAAAATAATTATAAAAAAACTGTATTAAGTTAATGTATCCGAGATGGAATTTCTATGACTTTAGCATCATCTGAAATGACCACAACTTAAGAATATAATATAAAAGATGTAGATTCAAGGATTAAAAGAAACATTTTTTATAATTATTCTAATAAATATATTGTATATAAATTATTTTAATATTAAAATAATTCCAAAACTTTTTCTTGCACATATATTTTCATTAATATGATAAAACTTAAATTGATAATAATTTATTTCTAATAGTTCTGATGAAATAAGAAGTATTAATGATATATTAATGAAGACTGAAAGGACAATGATCGGTTTTAATCATTTTCCACTAAGAAATGACTATAGGTAAGATGTGTTTTATTTATTAAATAATTAATTTAATATATATATATATATTTAAACAATTTTAGTTATCTGTATTAATTGTTAACAATGTATTAATTGATTTCTGAAGAAAGTCTTGACTGTATGTTTAGTAATTGGCTTAAATTATCATATAAAAATAACTGAATGGCTCTTACTAAGAATATTTTATATTTAAATTTGAAAATAGAATTTAATTCCAAACAATTTTAAATATGCTGAAAAGTTATGAAGAAAAAGTTGAAGGTTTCTTAAAAATTTCTTTAAAAGATAAAAAATTTTTTGGCTCAGACAAATCTTATTTTAAAATAAATATTATGTTAATATTAAGCCAGCTCCACATGTTCAGTATTTGCTGATTGTTAAACAATTGTCTATTTGTCCCTTTGGCAAATTGATTTGGCAAAATATACCAACAAGGAGTGGGAAATGGCAAATACTTCATATTAGTCATAAGTAAATCATATGCATTACTTGGTACTAGCCAGATGTTTACTCAGCATTTAGCAAATATTGAATGTGTGTGGCATTATCTAAGGAATTATGCCATGTTATTTTATTGTTTTTAAAGAAAAATTGAAAGTTTTATGGATTTGTAATTTTCAGATTTGATAAAAATTAGAAAATGAATTGATTATGTTGATATTCTATCATTTGGCCTTCATTCGAAATCATATTTCAGATTCAGTCTCCAATTAGTTTTAGAGTTCATTCAGACTGCTTAGTCCTGATCTAAATTAATGAATGTGGCTAGTATAATATTAAAAATATAAATCATTAATCACCTTATAATTAAATTATAATTATTAAATTTAATATGAGATGGTGTCTAACGCCTTGTCTAGTCCTACATGTGTATAGTTAATCTTAGATGGAATTTATCACCTAAAGATCCATCGCAATTGCTGTTGTTGAATAGGAATGTTAAAGAGGTCCCTAAAGAGTTAGAATTTCAGAANAGTGAATGAGTTAATTATGCTTTCTATTTGCAAAACTCCTCAACCTTAACACAAAATAAGAAAAAAAGTGAATTTTTAAGAAATTTGCGGGATTTCCCGGGATAAGAAAAATTTCCCGGGATATTTCCCGGGTTAAAAAAACAACCGGGATCCCGGAATCCCGTTTCAGAAACCCTAATAAACATCTACTGAAACCCAATGCTTAGCAAATAGACACCTACGATTGCCATAAATAATCGGGCTATAATTTGGAAATATTAATTATGAATTACGAATACATTTGGCACTAGAGGGGGGTGTTAAGCGTCATCTCATATTAAATTTAACAATTATAATAACTGCATAACTGGCAACGCATCCGCATGGTAAGTGGGAGTTGCGGGTTCGAGTCCCGCTTCGGGCCATTTCTTTTCTTCCAGTTTATTTTAAATTAATTAATTAAATATTATAATTATTAAATTTAATATGAGATGGTGTCTAACGCCTTCCTCTAAGGACAAATTAATCAGTAATTCAAATTATCATCACTGAAATATAGCCCGATAGTATATGGCAGTTGGTATGCTCATTTATGCTCATAATTAGCAACGTTTTAGATTTATATAGTTATGTTTCCTGAAAAATAATTTAAAACATAAATGTATTTAATCATATCGATATTCCAGTGATTTCAGAAAAGGAAAATAAAAACAAAGACCTTTTATTTAATATTGTAATAAATCTGAAGATTCAAAATATACTGAGCATTTATCTTCAGAGATGTTTTAAGGATATAATAAAAGTTTAATACTGACGACAGACTCTGAAGATGAGTTTATAAACTCAAAAAAAAGTAAAGAATGAATTATTACGATGACAATGTAACCAATGATGTGCTAATGCCTTATGTCCGCAAACAGTCATTCTCTGAAGATGACATGTTTGTAGTAGACGATGAAAAGATCAATAATATATTTGTTTACAGCTATAGAATACTTGAAGTTATTAGAATATAAATCTGTATGTTTTTCATCTTTCAGTGTAAAAAATTATCATCAAATTCCAGTTTTTAAAACTTATTTAAATATATCAGAGTTAATTTTGAAAAACAAGTATTAGAATCATTACATATTGATGACTAAAAATTTTAAAATCTAATAAATCTAATCAATAAAAATATTTCAAATATATATGATCATTGACATACCAATAAAAATCTGTTAAAAATTAATTTACAACAGAGAAATTCTATGAAATAATATATAAAGTATATAAATGTAACATCTAGTAACTGAGTGGCTTAAATAACTAATTTTTATGGCTCTCAAACCCGCTTTTCTTGTGGATGGGTGTCAAAATGTGTTTCTGACATGGAACCTTGCATTAAATCCATTGTCCCGCAATATGTTTCTTATAGTTTTATCTCGAAAAACTCAAATTTAAATGTTTTTAAACTTCGTAAAACTTTCTGTTATTTGCTCGAGATATCACAAAATTATTTTAATTTATAATTCGGGGATAAACTCCAAAAAAGAGGACATATTAATGCTCGGCTTGAGATGCTACAGACAGAGGACAGAGTGCTGAAAAGATGGACATCTGGCCACCTTAATTTCTAACGTCTTAGAATAATTATACTAAAAATTTGAATTTTAAGTTTATTCTGTTCATCTGGAAAACTAGATATATGGTTAATATCCTGGTTCTAGATTGAATAATGAGGAAGTCAATTTTGTTTGTTTGAAAATATTTAACTTTATCAAATTAAATTTTTATATATTTATGTCTTTTCTGCTAAAAACCTGCTTTCTAATATACTTAATGTAATATTTTTCCAGACATATATTGTTTGGGACAAATATATCCAATATTTGTAACGTAATCAGTTTTCCTGGAATAGACAATTTGTATTTTGAAAGTAAAATTAAACCTGGAAAGTCTTTTCAAGATGATATAACAAAACACATTGCTACAATTGCATTTCACATTGAAAGCCTCGCAAAAATATTACATGGAGGTTTGTGGTACATGTCTTTCGTTGAGATGTGACAAGGTAAGTTATGATTAAAATTATATAAATTAAAAAATATTAATTAAATAAATTGCTTTTTGTAATTTTAAAGATGATATTAAGCATATTAATAGTAAATCAAATTCAAATTTACACTAAAAGACAGAATACACGCAAAACACTATAATTGCTCTTTTTACTATTGATAATTAATTTTTATAGCAGTATCTAATGGTGAATTCATATACAGAAATGTTGCAATGGGTTCTTGGAAACTGTGACGCTAAATAAAATGACATGTAACAAAACCTATTTTATCACAAGCTAATTGACAGAAACAAGATATAATTCAGTTAATATTATTCAATTGGATTATGTTCGCAACCTCCAGCATTTATTTCTCACCTCATGCTTTTAGAATCAGTTTTACCATTTATAAATAAAATTTGACAATAATAATTGTATACGATTTCAAATGTGCTTATATCTCCTCATTGATATTAATTGAGGACTCGCTGTATACTAAGGCTTCAATTATATGATCTACAAAATGAAAATTTCATAAAATCAAGATGAAATTATCTTTATATTTTATTAATCATCCATTTCTAGGAATTGTGAGGCTAATTTGATTTACAGTCGACCCCCTTATAACACGGGTTCCTATAGTTCGGATTCCTATATGATGGCGGTATCCGTACAAACATGGTAAAAAAAACTCCTATAATTCGGTAAAACGTCATTGGGCAGTCGAATTACTTTCCGCCGTCCAGCACCACGCTACGGAGAGTTTAGGCGGGTAAATTGAGTTTACTATCGTCTGTACAGTATGTAAATTAGGTACTGTAAGTCTAATACAGCACTAATTTTATACATTTCTTGTGAAAGAAACATTTCTTATTCAACGGCCATAAAAATTATTTATATTAATGATGTCTCCAAAGTTCAACGAAGTTTTCGCAGAAAAATAACTTATCAGAAATCGCGGCCGCCGTTTGGTGCGCTGCTCCGCGACGAAAACAAGCTTAAGCAATGGCGACGTCGAACGGTGCACACTCGGTAAGTAATCCTACAATTTTTTGTTTATAGCATAGTTTATATGGATTATTCCCAAAAAAAATATACGTATTTTGGAAATGTTGAGTCGAATTAGTCTAGGAATTGATTAATTTTATGGAAGAAAACCTTTCAAACAGCCGTAGTCCGTAAAGTGCATACGTGCCGGGCTGTGATTTGCAAGGACTCGTACAAAATGGATTCATAAAGAACGGAACGTGTCTACCGTGTTATAGGGGGGGTCGACTGTACTTATCAGCTACCGTCAAATTAAAATCATGTGCAAATAATGATACTGTATATCTATTAGAGACTAATTGTGACATGACGACATCCAAGCTTTGACATCCTGGATTTTGCTGAAATTTTAATACATTTTAGTACACCTCTTTCACCAATGCATGCGCAATAATGTAACTGATCCCAATGAGCAGTAGTTTATGAGAAATCATTGTTTAAACTTTTCCATGTGCATTATATATCAAGTTCTATTAATTAATTGTAATGAGTAGACCTGGACCAGTGAGTAAAGCATCAGGCTCAACATTGTGGTCCTGCTTTTTTCTAATTTTTCTGAAGTGTGCAGTCTAGTGAATTATTAGAAAATATATTTGGTCTAAAAATACTGCTTTGTAATGATTAAATCACTTATATATTTTTAAACCAACAACTGTAAGAAAAATATTGATTCACTATTCACAGTTGCATTAGTGGAAGGAGTGTATTAATAATTTCATCAAAATCCAGGTTATTTTAGGCCACGTTAATGTAAGGCAGCGAAGTGACCTATACTTCATGCAGATGACAAAGTGTCAGCATTCCTGTAATCGATATAATGCTATCTACTGTAGTCTTTGTAGTTTTCTAAAGCTTCTAAGTATACACGATTCTTGCCGGATTTACAAGGTGTCTTTTTATTTATTGCTTAGTCTTATTCAGTTTTTCACAATTATATCACATTGCTTTGGATTAGGATATCATTTCCTATTGCTAATTCATGTTGATTGATTCCATTGTGAGTTATGCTCTCTTGTAATGATGTTGAGACTTAATGAACTGAAGCCTTGTGCAGGTAAATTACTTTAATTGGGATCCAATAAATATACGTAAACATATGAAAGTTACCTACTTACATACAATCTAAGAAAATAAAATAACTTTTAATAATAATTTATATAGAGATCTTTAAATAAGTGTTAGAAATATATTATTTTAATATGATTCTAATATTTATTACAGAATGAAATAATTTATAACCAAGATTTCAAAAGTGAAGATCTGCTTAAAGTATGTTCGTCACTTTGTCGCAAAAAAAAAATCTAAGATTAATTTTTATACTTTAAGAACAACTTTTATATACTTAAACATATTTTACACAATAATAAATAAATATTTTTAAGAAACATCTCATTTATTTGTAAATTAATTTTGGAAAATATCATTCGTTAATATATTTTATTATCGATATGACTATTGCTTAATATTTTACAATTAAGAACTTACAAACATATTATTATCATTTGTAATTAACTTGATATTGATAGAAATATTTATGTACAGTATTAAGACTTTTATATAAATATTTTTATAATTTATTGTCTGTCTTTACTTAATTTCCGCTAAATAACAGCAGCCGAGTTCTGCTTTCTGGGCGTTTCATGAACGATTCAAACATTCATATTTGTGTTGCAGAATAAATATAAATGATTCTAAACCAAGTTAAAAGAACTTTAATTTACTAAAAGTTATTTTTTATACTGGTCTTCCACATTTCCGTAAACAATATTAGTTCAGAACATCAGTCGATCACTAATTTTCTGGTACTTCATGGTCCAGCACCTCTGTTAATCTAAATAGAATTATACAAGGGTACTTAAAATTCCCATGACTGCAGACTAGTTTATTAAAATGGACACAAATGATATTCCATGTACTATACATTCACTTGAATTATCTACACTGCAGTTGTCAATTTCTCTCTACTTTGTGTGACTTTCTCTCATTTTACTTTGAAACTATAGCTATTGTTATGTGTACTAAAAAGGATATAATTGGTAGGAATATTGAATGTAAGTATGATTTCACATTTAATATATGTTTAATTCAAATTTTTAAAAGTCTACAGTGCATTAGAGACATTAGACATACATAAGTATGGTCCAGTAAATACCGTTTATTATTATTTACCTCAATTGGTTTTGAAAAAACCATTTATCTGGCAAGGACTTACAATTAGTAAACGCATCATAATTAAATTATCAGTTTGCTTGAATGATTTCAATGGCGCAATTAATTTGCTCTCATACAAATTCTTAATTAATCACGCAATTCCAGTAGCTTGACCAGATCTGACAAAAGCAGGATCCAATTTAATATGAATCGTTACGCATTTTAATAAATTAATACTTATATATAATGGATTATAATAAACATAGACTATATAAATTACTAAATCAGTAATTAACTCCACAATTAAATTATTTTTTTATATTTAACATTTCCATTACAAAGAGGAGAGGGCGTCTAATCTTCTCTCTGCTTACACCAATGGGTAATTTCTATTTAAAGTGAAGAGGACTTCTCGAAATCCTCTTCACTTTAAAATAATTGGATTGAATTATCTTTTAAAAAGTTTCTTCCAAATTTAAAAACATTGAGTTTGAATAATGTATGAAATGTGCCGAATGTAGTTATTAATATTAGTTTTATTTTTATAGTAAGTTGCTGCAATAATGCTAAATTCATCCACACATAAATTAATTATCTTGTTAGCCTATACTTTGCACTTATTCCTGGCATATAAAGTAAAAAAACACTACAACTTTTTTCATACTGTGTTTAGGAAAATTGACTTCATTGTATCAATACAATTTTTTTCTTCTTGTGTACAACAATTATCTTTAATACATTGAAAAATAAAAACAGGTGAGAAATTTTGTTTGTTTATAGTACATTTCTACTTTAATATCCTGCAAAATTTTAGAGTTTTTTAAATCCTTAATTCTTTTTCTAATCTAATACACTGACCCCATTGTTTTCCCATTAAATGACCCAAATTCGAACAATGATATATTATTATTTAGGCCATTTCATGGAAAAATTTCATGTCCTAATGATAAAATTATCAATCAAATTACATAGTCATCATGAAATTTTTTTTCTTTCTTTCTTTTTATAATAAAGAAATGTATCATTTCATCCCAAGTATAACAGAACTTTGAGAGATACTTGTAACTATAGGGCCCATTCTTATAGTACCTTAACGCTGGAAATTAACAAAAGTATAAGCACATACATTATAATACACGTCGGTAAGTAAGATTTTTAAAATTCGGAAGTACAACCTATCGAAAATTCGATATATCAATACATACACCTGTCAAAACATCTCGATTTTCAGTACTTTGATGGAGTGTTCACTTAGGAAACTTCCCAATCATCGTTCATCTGTTTGACAGTTATTATTGATTTTTTTTTTCCAAAGAGAAAACAAAGTTTCCGCTTCGATTTGTTTCTAATTTTAGAATTTTGAGAGTTCTAACGCAAAATTCGAGGTCTTTTATGGCGAACTGGCCCCTATTTAGTTGTTACTAACGTGAGTAGGGGGGATTTTGGGGGATTTGTGTCGTGACTATTCACTAAAATATCTTTCTGAATAATCTCTTCCTGAAGAATGTCAAAACTCCCATAAAAATGAAGAAATCCTGAAAATAATGAGGACCAAAGCTCGATCCTTACCATCGTTTTCAGAAGGATCAAAGATCAAAATCACTAATTTTATATTCTTTACCTTTGACCCTCTCGGAATACACTTTTATACCTTTGATTTCCCCTTATTTTTGGCTCTTCCCCCGTGGAACAGAGGGCCTTTTTCAAACCCATTTTAAATTAGGCCGGGCCCACTCTTAATTTTTCGATTGCTTTATTTTATTTTATTTTTTTCTAAAAAAAATCAAACTTATTTATAATAAAACATTATTATATTTAGAAAGTGTTAGTCGGCCCGTATACGTTTCTTCGCAGTTGTCTCTAGTGTAATCCACAAGGACGAGAATTATGGAGAAAGTAAAATTCTAAGTAATTTTTTTTCCTATATTATTATTAATTAAAAAGATATATTTCTAAATAAGTGTTGTGCGTGGGAAAACATACTTTTACTATTAGGTGACACGTGCATAAACACGTGCTTTTCACGGATAACTGGACACAATACATTAGGATCATTAGATGAATAATAGTATCTCGAATGACTTGCAAATTTTTATTACTGTAACATACATACAAAAAGAAAAAAGAAACAAATATTAAATAAAAGGATTTCCTGTTGTTATACAAGGAAATTTTAATACACGATACGAAAAAAATGTGAGAATTCCGAGAAAATATGTGGGTGTGTACGGTAGATCATAAGGTAACTTATAACGTACAGCGTAACTACTGTATATTTATAGATATTTTGCAATAAACTGCAATACATCACGTAAAAAAATCATTTCTATACGGGAATTTTAATCTTTAAACTGTTGACTGACTTTTGAGCCATCTTGTGTATCGACAAGATTTACCTTTGGAAGATATTCAATCTTTACAATGGTTTAACTGACTTTTGGGCTTCTTCGTTAATTATAATAACTTTGAAAATCATAAAAAAATCCTCCCTACTTTTTAATTTAATTTAATTTAAGGGAAAAAAAATTAACGAGTGTTTTCTTAAATTAAATTAAAATCCTTAAGTTACGTAATGTTGGATTTATGCCAATTTAAATTAAGGATTGTCCGTCAACGTTCCTGGTTCACTCCGCCTAAAAGGAACGGTGGGAAATGTCCGGCTGACGTCACACGAGCTATATAAAAGCGCTCGTGTTGCATCTGTCTTCAGACTAGGAGCCATGAGTAAGAGGAACTTCTACGAATTTAGCGCTAGATTATTGAACGGAGAAACTGTTAATTTCTCACAATACCGTGGGAAAGTGGTCCTGATCGAAAATGTAGCATCCCTATGAGGTACAACTGTACGGGATTATACCCAAATGAACGAACTTCTCGATAAATTCGGGGATAAGTTAGAAATTTTGGGTTTCCCGTGCAATCAGTTTGGTCATCAGGTGAGCCATTCTTTTTTTTAAGTTTAAAAATAAACAGTTTTGTGTTAAGGATACGTCGAATAAGTAAACAAATTTATATTATATTTTAAGTCTATTATTTAGGAATATGATTCAACGACCTTTGAGGTTATTCTACATAACAATATATTTAATTTCGTGACTCTAAGAATACATTTATTCGATTTCTTGAATAAATTTCGTTTCCACAAATGCGAAATATTGCGGAGTACGCGTATTATTATCGATTTTACTTTATTTAGAACGTGTGAAAGGTAAGTTACTTCGTGACCTAGTTATGCAGTGTGACTTCTTATCGACGGAGGGATGGGATATATTTCATCCTGATAATTATTTTATCGTTAAGTATCGGAGCCAGTAGCTTAACTTAAGTAGAACTGATATTAGAGAGAACCGAATAAGAACGTGAACCCCCCCACACCATTGTGAATGTATTTAGCAACAAGCTCTGTACTTGAAGAGTAAATATATAAGTGTGACGTTAGTGTATGGTTTATAAAGCATTACCACCTTTCATTTACAAAGATAAAGCTCTCTCTGGTCAGAGCGTTGTCTTCTTAGATCGCTTCTATTAGACTAAATGCTAACAGATGCAGTTTTCTTTTGTCCTTATCCAATATCCATTATCCTTTTTGAATCAAATTCCTAAATACCATTCGGATGACACTCGAATCGAACTCTTGAACTCCATTCGGGAGTTCAAGAGTTAGATTCGAGTGTCATCCGACTTGTAGTGTGTCAATTGTCTTGAACTCCATTCGGGAGTTCAAGACAATTGACACACTACAAGTCTGATTATAGAGTTCAAGATTTAAATTGAAAACTTAATGTATATATTTTTTAATTTCAATCTTTAAAGGAAAATGGAAGCAAGGAAGAGATTACGAATTCCTTAAAATACGTGCGACCCGGTAACGGCTTCGAGACCAAAGTCACTCTGTTCGAAAAAGTCGATGTGAACGGATCAAGCACTCATCCCGTCTATCAATTTCTTAAAAGAGCACTTCCACATCCCAGTGACGATTCCGAATCTTTGATGTCCAATCCACTCTTCATCACGTGGTCACCCGTATGCCGTAATGACATCAGCTGGAATTTCGAAAAGTTTCTTATAAGCAAGGACGGAACACCTTTCCGTAGATACAGCAGAAATTATTTGACTAGCGATATTGCTAGTGACATACAATTGCTTCTGAAGTAAGATTTCTTTTTCTTTTTTTGGAAAATCGATTTCGATTATCGGAATGGTCCGAAACTCGAAATGATATCAAGACCAAAAATTTCTGGGTTTTGATTGATGACACCCGAGAAGGACCCGACGATAATTTCGATCGATTATTTTCAAAAAAATTATGTGAAATAAATGATTATTTTTATTAGAAAATAAAAACTTAGATGGTGATTTTATGCTTGTGTCGTCTTGTTGATGCGCTCGTTCACCTTGACCTAATTGCCTGGGGATGAAATTTCGAAAGAGCTGTTTGTTGAGGAAGAGTTTACACGTAATTTTATATACACTGCACTTTGAACTTGGATAGTATATCGTACAATTCAGTGTAATGTATTCGTTACTAACTTGCAATACGAATACGATAAGCATGTAAATTTATAACGGTCTTGATCTCTATAAGACAGTTATAAATTTACACTTTGGATATAAAAGACAGGGAGGGTTTCTCAACCTTTTTAAACACAAGAATCAACAAAAGGCCTGAAAAAATTCTACGGAGAACTAACAAATTACGTAGGACTAATTTTTTAACGCGTGTGGGTATTACCAACATTTGTGACATACTGTGCCATTTATTATATAATAAATCTAAAGGTATGTTTGGAATACACGCGACTGAATACTAAATACTCGACTGAAGGCGTGGATAGTGTCTCGAAGGCCAATTTTGACCTCCCAAACCTACAACAACCTCCCAGATGGTTCCCCTCGGTTATTGTCCTCCAAAGTGAAACGAGGTTAATGAATATACACGAATACAAAAAATAACAATTCGACATCCTTAATGACATCATTGTAAACTGTGTCTGCCTGAAAAGACTATTGTGAGGTCTGTGCGGAGGTGGAGATTGACATACTCGATCCCCATTCACCCGAATATTAAAGAGAACGGTCGCGGCTTCAATTAGGTCAGCGACAATTCTCAATGGTTTTTAATACAATTATATTTTTAATGTTTTAGAATTAAATTCACAGTATTAATAAATAAGACGTGTAACTTCCTGTTTGCATAAATTGTTATTTTATTTATTGTAGTAAATGCTACGCAATTTCTTTTAGTTATTTTTTAAGTGGCGGCCGATAAAAGTTTACACCCGGATGGCAAATACCCTTGGCCGCGCCCCCGAATTCGGGGATGCTAAAATATAGTTACAGCATCACTTGTGTTTAAATAAATGAAATTATACACGAGGAATTATTTAAAATTATTATTTTTGCGGCCAATTACGTTAATTACGTCATTTCGGCAATAAAAAACATAAATTAAGTTACTTTGGTGGCAATAAACGTAACTTACGTAACTTTGGAAGCCATTAGCGTCTGTTATGTCACTACAAATTTCTATACTACATGTGAGAATAATGATGTAAAATATGTACAGTAGTACCTCAGAATACGAAATTACAGTCGACCCCCTATAACACTATTGATAATTCCGTTTTATAAGAATTCCGTGTTGTACGAGTCACTTAGATTTTACAAATACATGAGCCGCGCACAGAACGGCACACGTATTTGTAAAATCTAAGTGGCTCGTACAACACGGAATTCTTATAAAACGGAATTATCAATAGTGTTATAGGGGGTCGACTGTAATCCCGTTCCGAAACTGAGATCGTATCACGAAAATGTCGTAAGGTGAATCGTTTATCCCCATACGATTACATATATAATATTATTATTTGGTTTTATATAACAGAGGGAAAGTGTAGCGCTCGGTCAAAAAAATAACCCTTCCCAAATTTTTACATTTTTGGAATCGGGACACCTCGAAATTTCGAGATATGCAAAAGATTCGAGGTTTTTTTCTATATGTGTGGATGTTAGACTGTGTGTGGGGGAGACATGATTTTGTTCACCCTGTTTGAAGCCTAATAATTTCTGTGGTCAGAATCGGAGTCAGTTATTAAGCGTCAAAGTGGTTGAACTAAATCGTGTCCCCATGCACATTCTAACATCTTAGGCAACAACATCTTAACGGGTTTTACTGTACTATTATAAAATGACAAAAAAGTTTACTTTGAGGGTAGAGACGAGTTTTATTTATTTACTTTTTTAATTTTGAACGCTAATAACGAGTAAAATATTCATTAAGACATATGACACATGATCCCTTTTATGTCTTCACCCTGTCGATCTTTAATTAAGAACCAAAATTTAATAGTATTAATGCCCATTTATACGCGAGCTACAGTGCCACATTTTGTTTTTTAAACTTTACCCATTCCGAGATATTAAACAAAGAAATTAAACAAATTAGATGCCAACACGCGCGCGAATTTTCCCCCTGTTGTTGACTTTTTTGAGAGGTTTGGGAGGTCTCCAAACGTGTAAATTTGCAAGAAAAAAAGTAGGAGGGTCAAATTTGACGCGATTCCAATACTTTTCCGTTTTATATACATAACAAATTGGGAAGTAAAAAGTAGTCGGGGTCGGCGGATTTTTTGACAACTCCGACTCCGATTAAAACACCGAATTCTTTGCAAAAGGAATAAGTTATCGGGAACACGCCGGAGATGAGTAGTCACGTGACCGAAATAGCACCGACAAATGTCACGTGACACGCTTCGTACGCGTCCGATGTGATGCTCCGCGACGAAAACAAGCTTAAGCAATGGCGTCTTCGAACGGGTACACTCGATAAGTATTCCGACAATTTTTTCTTCATAGCATATTTTATATCGATCAAATCCAACATATTATATACGTTTTTTGGAAATATTCGAGTGAAGTTAGTCTAGATTTGATTAATTTTATGGAAGAAAACCTCTCAAATAGCCGTACCCCCTAATCAGCACTAGTGCCACTTTTTTAAAAAAACATTGCTTGTATTACATTCATTTATATATTTTAATTAATATGTTTTCATTTTAGAGAATTATTAAGTTTTAGTTTTAAAGTTATATTCATTTCTTTGGATTTTCCNCAATGGAGGTATTTTTTTTTCTAATTTCAAAAAGAACAAACCTTTTCAATGAAAGCTGTTGAACAATATGCCATATCAAGATTTTCAAAAAGTTTATAATTTTATTTACAAGCTGACGAATAAGTTAGGCAAGATCTTGAACAGGATTTTAATCAGGGCTGTGGAGTCGGTAGATTTTTACGCGACTCCACAGCCCTGGCAGGGCTGTAGGTGAAGGGCCTAGATGATATCTTTTAATTTATATTAGTATAGATAAAACATCTGTAGGTTTGATTAGTGGTAAACATTCTGGGGATCATAAAGATGCTACAGTTAAAATTTGGTAACGATTGGTTCAGTAGTTTTCACGGTTAGTGGTCACAAACGAAAAATGCATTGTCTCTTTATATAGTAATAAAATAATATAGATATACATATAGAAATATAATATAGATATAGATTTTTCAAAATACGTTTAAATAATTAAAAATATTCGCGATAAATGGCAGGTCATTATTCTTAATAAAAACATGATAATTATTTTTATAAAATATAAATGACTATTTTAAACAAAAGATGGCGCTGTAGGGAATTCAAACTTGCATAGAACTGAACTGTACTGTCTTCTTTCGTATATAAAGATTTTATATTTCTTTTTATAAATGTTTCAAATGCCTTATTTTTTTAACAAACGCCATGCAAGTTACGATATGTTTGTATTAAATTATATAAAAAACGTTTTTAATCATATTATTATCAATGCGGAATTGGCTCTATAATTATAATAATTACGTGTCGTTGTTATTTTGTTAGAATGTTAGCGAGTTTCTTAATAAAAATAAATTTTATTTACGATTTTTTCGAAGTACGTTTAAATATTTCTAAATATTTGCGATAGATGGCGGGACATTATAATTTTTGATAATTCATTTTATAAAATACTAGCTTACCCGTTGCGCATTGCTGCCATCTCAGAAAAAAGGAAATTCAAGCAAACTCGTTATGATAAAATTCAATTTACATTTTATCATTTTTATTGAAAATTATTATTATTATTATTNACGTAAAATATATTTAAGAGTTTACAACCACTGTGCTGGGTGAGACGTTGTTGAAACAAAAAAAGTTATGCATTTCATCACGTACATAAACAGTGTCGTAATTCAAGTGCAAATAAGCAAATTCGTAAAATTTTTGTTTATTTTGAACAATCCGGATAATCGAAAATCCGGATAATAGAGGTCCGGATAATCGAGGTTCTACTGTATATATATATACCGATGTATTTAATTAATTTGTATTTCTTTAGTAACAGTGTAATATTTTCAGTATTAAATAATCAAAATTTCAAATTCACTTAATTTGTTACGATACAGTAAATAATAATTTATCATCTATTAAATTATATTTTTTCATATTAGGTCCAATATGGATTTCTACAACTCAGTAGTAACATGACAGATTATTTATATTCACTAGGAAGTTTGAAGTCTGCTGACATGTATTATGATTATCGTAAAGGTATTTTAAATGGCCTAATCTCTCGTGTCGTAAACAAAATTGTATAATATTTATTTATGAATTTATAGAATACAATTAATTAATATTAAATATTGCACGTGTGGAAGTATTCAAAAAGAGAATATTTCGAAAGCATTTATTATAACTCGGAAAATAACAGTAAAAGGCATGCATAAATGCAAGGGGACTTAGGTTTACCATTGGTTTAAAAGTTTATAGTTTAAAAGTTTGCCATAATTTATACATTAGTGTACAGTGGCACATATCAATTACACCCTAATAAGATATTTATTTAATAATTTCGATAGTGATACCCAACCTATAACAAGTAATTATTAAGGCATTATAATTTTTGCATTTGTATATATTTTATAGTTTTATTTTTACAAAAGTTGGATAAACTGTGCGATAAACATTTCTAATTATCCACAACCGTCAGGCAGATCTGATTAGCCCGCACAATTATCTGCCTACTAATGTAGAATATTATATTGTAGAATATATAACTGTTAAGTTTAGTTGTAACATGTCAGGTGTGTGGATGTCAGCAAGTGGTGATGGACAGTCCACAGCTTGGTCACACGTGTCAGGTGGGTGAGGTAACAGTATCCCCAAGAATGTGGGGGAGATTGTCCCCCCTAGAGAGGGAGAAATGGTGAGAGAGGGAAAATTTGTGCGCTTCCCTTTTTGGGTGTGTGTAGAGTCAGTGTGGTGTGTGGCTGGTCAAGAACCAGTATTGTAATACCAATAATTGTGGGGTGCCCGAGTGTTGCTCGATTGTGGAGTGCCAGAGAGTCACTCGCTGATTTGGAGACATTAAAGTGTCATTGTATTGTTATTGTTACAAAGGAAGCGTGTACTGTGTTCTTTTAGACCGTGTAAACGGGAACATTTCATACCACCATCATCACAACATCAATTTTGTATACAACAATAATAATCAATAAATTTTTTTAATAGATTAAACAGTATGAAAATAAATATAGGAACTATTCTACTCTCAGCACTGGGGTGAAATCGACGGGTATGTAAATATGAAAATAAAGTGGAAGGTAAAACATGCTCCAAATACTTGTAGAAATTTTGCTGAACTTGTGAGGTATATTAATCCTAATATGCTAAGAATTAAAATAAAACATTCGTAAAGATTTATTAAAATTTTTAATGTTTGAAGTCTACACCTCACGGTTGTGGATAATTTAATTAATATACTGTAGTTTTATTTTGACTTCAACCTTCTATCCTTCCCTTCCTGTTTCTTTGTCCTATTGTTTTTCTTGTGTGGAATGTTCCTTTTCGAAAATGTTTTCTTTATTTGGTCATTGAGAGTATCCTAGAACAAAGGAAGGGTGTGCCACGCCTTAGGGGATGATTAAGAGGGGAGAGGGCAGATGGGATTCGGACTCGAGGTGAGAGGCTGGTGATAGGAGCTTTCTGGTGCGTTTTTATTAAGTTTTGGTAAAAGGATAAACTTTTACCAATAATAATTATAAAATTGTATCTGAAGCAATGAAAATAGAATCAGACGTTGATATCAATAAACTTCTTCACATATGTACCCCAAATATTTACCTCTAACCAGTCTGCTAGTGTCCTAGTAATAGTTATGAGTAGTCTTACAAATCTTTTATAAAATTCTTGTACACTTATACATGTTTTTAAATCATATAAAGTGTCTAATAACTGTATTATAACATATAACTGTATAATAAAGTAAATAAATAAATAAACTAAAAAACATTTACTTTTTTATATAATTTATATCAAAAATTTAAGAAAAGTGAATACATTTATCTATTTCTATAACAATTATAACCTGGAAAGTAATTACATAGCTATTTGGTTTCAAAATTTAACTGAATACAATATAACAATTGTTAGTAACAATTTATAACAATTGTTAGTAATAATTATAGATTATAGGTATTTACATTTAAATACCCGTAAATATATGGTAATATAGTAATATACCCGTAATATAGTGTGGCTACACGCCATATTTAAATCGTATATTTTATATATATTTTTTGCTTCACCTCTGTCTGTCCTATTTGTTTATCCTTACTGTAATGTTCTCGTTTTTCCATTGACTTTGGTGTGTGGGTGGACTAACCTGAGAAGCAATGAAACGTTCTCGTTTTCCATTGACTTTGGTGTGTGGGTGGACTAACCTGAGAAGCAATGAAAGGAAGGCAGCTCTGAGAGGAGGGGTTGTTTACCCTGACTGGAATGTTCTCGTTTTTCCCTGGGCTTTTGGGGGATGTGAGTGGACTAAATGGAGAAGAGGGGAGGACTGGGAGGAGAAAACCCGAAGGAGAGAGCGAGAGGAAGTCTTCCCAGTAGGTTTAGCATCGTATGGTCGAGACGAGAACTTTGGAAGGGAGAAAGAAAAGGAACTTAATTGAGAGGAACCAGACGGATCGACCCTTTGGACTAATATCTTAAAGAGAAACAAAAAGGGAGCTAATCAGTCTCCAACCCGATGAGGAACCTCATCCACGAGCCCACACAAGCAGCATACATCATCAAGTTTTGGGTACCCTCTTTCCTTATTCCTTACTTTCATTTTCTAAATCTTCGAATAAGCCAGCTCTGTTCAATAGTTTTAAGTAGTAATAGGAACCTAGTATTAAGATAATCTTAAGTAATCGGATAATCGGGTCGGATAAAGGACTACGCGCGTGCAATCTTTGTCGGGAGACCATATTGTGCGGTGCCCGAATAATTAACTGTGTGGATTATTCGGTGGGAGTAGCATTGTTGGTATCCTTAGAAACCTGTATCTTAAAGAGCGAGTAAATAAAATAATTGTGTTTCATTTTATCTACTAATATTGTAATATAGTCTACTAATAACACTTGTTAGTTTTTATTGCTTTTTTCAAGGTCAATTGATGACTGTTTAATGATTCAAGCAGCATTCCTAGTCTATGAATTTATCAAACAAAAAGATTGCACTTAAGCTCATAAGTGTTATTTAAAATTTACTTTAAAATTAATCTTTTATTAAAGTTTTATTCTACATAGCTTAGAAATGTTTGTTTTAAACATGTAAGTAGAGTTCTGCTACTCATTAGCAACCCTCCCCATAAACTCCACATCTGTAATGGTCAAGAATTTGGAGAACTGAGGTGGTCACTAAAAGGGAGATGGGGAGCTAAAAGTTAAATTACTATGTCCCTTGTGTGCCATGCCATGTCTGCTTTTGTTCCAAATAGTTTACCTTATTTGGTAATGTTAAATTGCTAGCCTATAACAAAGAAAGGGTGTGAACCTTTTAGAAATTGAATAGGAGGAAAAGGCAGACAGGATTCAGACCACCAAGTGAAATTGTGGTGATACAAGCATTCTGGTGCGTTTTTAATTAATTTTTAAATTTAATTTAATTAAAAAAGAAGGAATTAATTTGTTATTTAAACTAATTTCAATTGTATTAGATTAACATTATAATTATCATAAGTTATATATTTTATTTTAGTTAAGTAGGAGGGGCATCAAAAATTGTTTCCATTTAAAATGAATTTTAAAAAATTATAAATTTCTAAAAATATTTTTGATTTAATTTCTGATTAAGATCTAATACTGTACTGATTGAAGTTTCATACATTTACTTTCAATTCAGACTATGATAAGATGCTATAATAGTACAGCCAGGGCCAGATTTAGGGATGTAAACAGGATACAGGGCACAGGTACATTGCATTTCCCTTCTGAAGTTTTTTATAAATATAAAGTTAAAAATTAAAGTTCTTTTTTATAAATAAAATATAAAGAAAGGTAATCTTTGTTTATTAGGAATGTATAGAAACAAAAATAGTCTACTACTGAAATAGTGTACTTACTACATAGAATTCTATGTATTTTTAGGCATTTGGGCCATTCATCATCCTGCCAGTGGTTATATTCAAGGAATGAATGATCTTGTAACGCCATTTATTGTTGTCTTTTTACACGAAGTTGTTTCTGCAGGTAATAAATAAATATTATCTAATATATTAAGAACTAATTCAGGAGCATAGTTAAATAAAATTGGATATCTTTTTAAAAATTTATCTTTATTTTATAAAATAATAATTATAAAATTGTATCTGAAGCAATGATAATAGAATTGGATGTTAATAAATATAATAGGTTGACTACTGGTGGACTCCTTGGACTTTGTGCAGTAACGATAGTTTGGATATTGCAGCTTATGCGCGCTATACGGAGTTGTTTGGAAGATAAAGTGGAAGGTAAGACATGCTCGAAATATTTGTAGAAATTTTGCTGAACTTGCGAGTTATATTAATCCTAATAAAACATTCGTAAAGATTTATTAAAATTTTTAGTTTTTGAAGTCTAGAACTTTGCTTGCTATTATATGGGTACTTTCACTAATCATATTGATAAAGTTACATAAGTATAAATTTTAAATAGATAATTAATGTAAGAAAAGTGAATACATTTATGCAGGGCCGTGCCGTGCTATGATGCAGCGAAATCAAAATATTATTTGAACCATTCAATAATTAAAAATTTTTACGCAACTCTTTTCGGTATTGCTCTTATGTTATTCCGATGTTGATGTATACTATTAATGATTTATCGCACGCCTCTGCTTAAGTGCTTTCGTTATCCTTTGATTTCGGTTTATGGTGCAAATGCATTGTTGGAGAGCGGCAGTCAAAAGGCTTTTGACAAGACAGCGCAAAGCTATTGTTTTTGTTTGTAATATACCGCGCGACTCTCTAAAAGCTGAGGTGGCAATTATCATAAAAGACAATTGCACGTGTAGCGTGTTGATAGTTCTGCTTTGACCTTAAATTATTTACAATATTTGGCTTTAACGTTAAGGCTGCTATACACCATACTACTATTTACACCATAGACTTCTATGCATACTTTTTTCCCGCGAGTTTTAATAGAATTTGTTGCCAATAAACATCAGTGGCGTAATAATAAACACAATGGCGTAGCGAACATAACTGCACCCGGGCCGCGACACTATATTGGTACCCCCTCCCCCTCCAGAAACAAATTTTGTTATTCTTGGAAACCATTAGGCTCCCCTCTGCCAGTGGCGCCCGGGGCAAGCTGCCAAGCTGCCCCCACCCTCTGCTGAGAGGTTTTCTTCATTTTTGGGCGATAGGAAATTCGGAAGTTCCTCAAGGCCAGGCAGTCAGTTTGTCTCTATAAGCAGTGAGTGTCTGTGCTTAAATCAGTGAATCAGATATATATCTGTATCAGTATAATATTTTTGTATTTTTACTAGTTCAGTTTTTTGTGTTTAAAAAGTAGATCAGGTAAGAGAATTATTATTTTTTACAGCAATTTAAGTTACTTATTATCATTGAAAAGGATTATGTTGTGACAATAAGAACTCGAATTAAAAAGTAGCATTTGCATGAACTGGGTATATATCAGGTGCGGAACGTGTGCCTGTGTGTGATAGAGAGTTATTTAGGTAATATTGGACTACTTTTAAATTCTGTATGTGATAATTTCCAAAAATTCCTTCTTAGCGTGCATTCTCGAGGCGCATCTTACTAAAACGCAGTCAAAAACGCAAAAAATTGATTAAAATCATTATTGAATTTTAATAGAATAAATCTTCAGTATTCAAAAAGAATTTTTATTTAATTACTTTGTATCCGAATACTGTTGTAGCCCTGAGAATTTTATTAACAGTCTCTGTAGCTAGTGGGGAAAGAAGTTTTTCCAAATTAAGATGAATAAAACGCTACTTAAGAAGTTCAATAAGCCAAACAAAACTTTGAAATCTATCATTGGCTGCCACTCTACATTACTATTCCCTAATTAATGAATTTGCTAAAGTTAGAAGGGTAAAACTGTAGTAGATTCTTGTAGTTGATACTTGATATCATTATTTTAAAGTAATTTTTATTTTCAAGATAAAAATACCATAGTTTAATAATAGCTTTGTAATTACAGGTTTGTTTAGTTCATATCAAGTCTGTTTAATTAAAATTATAAAATATTAGGTGTCATTATTATATAATGTATTTGATATTTTCAGTCTTTTTTATTTATTTATGCCTTTAATGATTTTAATAATTCAAGGGTGAACCAGGAGAGAGGGGGACCTCCAAGACCAGCTGGACCACCAGGGTTTGATGGAACAGTAGGTTTACCTGGAGAATCAGTAAGTTCAATGTTCAACTTTTTTTTTGAGAATATTATAAATTACACTTCATTTAAAATTATACTAATATGAATGATTCTATTAATCTACTATATATATAAAATTATTAATTATTACTATTATATGGTATGTTAATTATTACTAGCTGTATGTATATGTCTATCTTTAAGTATTTAGAAAAGAAAGAAATATAGTCAATAAATTTTTTCTTATGAATTCCAAATGTAAACTTAGACAATATTATCTAATGCAGATTTGATTTCATTAAAAGTTTTTTCAAAAAGTATCCTTAAATGTATAAAACATTAATATATTTATTGGCAAATGCTCATTTTTAAAATGTTTTAAGAAGTATCTTTAAGTATCATATTATAGTTTGAAGTTTGGGTTGTTAGAATACCAAATCAAACTGTACATTCAAACTATACATTCTGGAATAAATTTATTCCTTCTGTAGACAAGTTTTGAAGATGAAACTGAAAAGTTTTCAGAAATGTTAAAACAATAAAATTTGTTTATAAATAAAACATTAAAATAAAGCATCTTGCTGTTGTTTTAATAGATTTTACAATAGATTTTTTACATTATATTTATAAAAAGTTCAGAAGGGAAATGCAATGTAAAAAATCTATTGTAAAATCTATTAGCTATTTGGTTTCAAAATTTAATTGAATATAATATTTATAACAATTGTTAATAATAATTATAGATTAGATTATAGATTATTTCTTTAGTTCTTAATTATTATTAATTTCTTGGAACCTTTACAATAATCATAATACATGTCATTGGAATTTCAGATAAGAGATTGTATCTATACCAGTGTATCTTTAATCAGAAATCTAATTTTTAATATGTAGACTAGTATATACATTGGAATATAATGCCTCGCCAAATCATTAAATTCTCCATAAAGGTCCTTGCACTTATTTTAGGACTAATAACAGCTTACTAATTCTTTCTATATCTAATATTAAAAAATCAGCTCAGAGATTTAATCTGGATTCATTGTAAAAGAAAACTCCTTTTAATCTTGAGTATAATCACAATTTTGATCTTATTTCAGTATTTAAGATATACTTACCCGGTTTAAAACAAATCAAATCAGGTCTGTTCATTGATTTCTTATAACATAAAAATACATCAGAACCCATCTATGAAAATTTTATTAATATACTAATTAAAGTTTTGTGTCTTAATGTATACTAACAAGTTTTAAAAAATATACTCACCACGCCTTTGTTTAAATTTTTATTTATTTGGCAAAATGCGTGTGGTGATTATTAGTATTTTGATTTTATGTTCAGATGTTTGTGTTAAGATGAATTTATTCTTTTTAACTAGTCTGTAGTGTTTTTAATGTATTGACATAATAGTGAGGTTGCGGCCGAAGTTTTTAACGCAAAAATGTGAACGTCAGACGTTCAGCGCCACCATCCTGTAAGCATAGAAATTTGACAATGGCATTTGGAATGTTGAGCATGATTATGCTGATGTTCCGAACGCCATTGTCAAANACAAAAAAAGCCGAATTATTTAAAACAGGAGGAGGAAACCAATTCGTTCTAATAGGTTTCTTACGCTCTCTTTTGGCAAACGATATCGACATAGAAAGTCGTAATCGTCCAATTGTTCGAGGTCATTTCTTCTTGGAGAAATAATCCGCCGACTTCTTCGTTCCATACGATCTATATAATCTAAATATTTCAGATTTTCTAGCTCTCGGCTTCGTCTTCGTCGAATGTCGCCATTTTTCTCTGAAATAGACCGCTTTGCGCAGGCGTCAAACCTAGAGTTATCGTCTACTCGCCGATTTTCTAGAGTTAGAGTTAAAGTTAGGGTTATTGTGTTTGACTCGAGATTCGGAGTTGGTGAATACCAATTTACCAGTAACTCGAGAGTTAACCCTAACTCTAACTCTAACTCGTGTTGGTGAATACGGGGGTAAGTATCATATTATAGTTTGAAGTTTGGGTTGTTAGAATACCAAATCAAACTGTACATTCAAACTATACATTCTGGAATAAATTTATTCCTTCTGTAGACAAGTTTTGAAGATGAAACTGAAAAGTTTTCAGAAATGTTAAAACAATAAAATTTGTTTATAAATAAAACATTAAAATAAAGCATCTTGCTGTTGTTTTAATAGATTTTACAATAGATTTTTTACATTATATTTATAAAAAGTTCAGAAGGGAAATGCAATGTAAAAAATATATTGTAAAATCTATTAGCTATTTGGTTTCAAAATTTAATTGAATATAATATTTATAACAATTGTTAATAATAATTATAGATTAGATTATAGATTATTTCTTTAGTTCTTAATTATTATTAATTTCTTGGAACCTTTACAATAATCATAATACATGTCATTGGAATTTCAGATAAGAGATTGTATCTATACCAGTGTATCTTTAATCAGAAATCTAATTTTTAATATGTAGACTAGTATATACATTGGAATATAATGCCTCGCCAAATCATTAAATTCTCCATAAAGGTCCTTGCACTTATTTTAGGACTAATAACAGCTTACTAATTCTTTCTATATCTAATATTAAAAAATCAGCTCAGAGATTTAATCTGGATTCATTGTAAAAGAAAACTCCTTTTAATCTTGAGTATAATCACAATTTTGATCTTATTTCAGTATTTAAGATATACTTACCCGGTTTAAAACAAATCAAATCAGGTCTGTTCATTGATTTCTTATAACATAAAAATACATCAGAACCCATCTATGAAAATTTTATTAATATACTAATTAAAGTTTTGTGTCTTAATGTATACTAACAGTAAGTTTTAAAAAATATACTCACCACACCTTTCTTTAAATTTTTATTTATTTGACAAAATGCATGTGGTGGAGTTTTCCCGTAAATACATTAATTTTTATACAGTTTAATGTATTAAACTGTTTATAATGATTTTATTATTGTTTTGTGACTTTCTTTTAATATCACCGCAAACCCAGGTTGAGAAATGCTGTCATAAAGGAATGATTTGACATTTAATAAAAATACTTACTTGTATGGGGTTTACAAACAGATGAGTAAAAAGTCAATAATTATAAATAAATGAAAATATTTTAATAATTCATTATAATCAGTTTTGTTTATTAATTTAATAGTTAGACCGGAGTAATAGAAGAAAAGCCTGCGCCCCAAACAAAGTTGAAAAGCATATAAAAAGACCTAAGAATTCCTTCATGGTCTGGAATCAAATGTACCGGAAGAGTTTTTGTCAAAGATGGCCCCACTTGCCGAATACAGAAGTAAATTGATGGGTCAGAGCTGGAAACTCCTCTCGGAAGATGAGCGCCAGACATTTATAGAAAAGGCAAAAGAACTGCGTAAAGTGCATAAACTGAATTATCCAAGAAGTCCACCAATAGTCAGCCTACCCCGCCTGCCAAAGTTCCTTGCTCCCCAAAGAGTGCTAACATCAGCCTGCAAGATAATGGTGCCATGTTCATTCCGCAAGTGTCGGTCGCATCAGACAGAGGAGGCAGACTTTAAATTCATACATGAATTTTTGAAAGTGCAGTTTGAGAAGAGTATACTATATTATGTACTAGAATTATCAAAAGTGACTACTGATTTTTTTATAATAAAAAAAAAACAAACAATAGTGTTTATGACCTATTTCTTTCTACTCAAAGAGCACTAAAAGAGCATGGCTACACTGATCAATAAATGATGAAAGATAATATTTTATATTATATTACATTTTAAAATAATAATAGTGAAGATAAAAATTATTAAGAATTTCAATGGAGGTATTTTTTTTTCTAATTTCAAAAAGAACAAACCTTTTCAATGAAAGCTGTTGAACAATATGCCATATCAAGATTTTCAAAAAGTTTATAATTTTATTTACAAGCTGACGAATAAGTTAGGCAAGATCTTGAACAGGATTTTAATCAGGGCTGTAGGTGAAGGGCCTAGATGATATCTTTTAATTTATATTAGTATAGATAAAACATCTGTAGGTTTGATTAGTGGTAAACATTCTGGGGATCATAAAGATTATGGTAAAATTTGGTAACGATTGGTTCAGTAGTTTTCACGGTTAGTGGTCACAAACGAAAAATGCATTGTCTCTTTATATAGTAATAAAATAATATAGATATACATATAGAAATATAATATAGATATAGATTAGCAGACCTCGCCACGCGTTGTGGCTCAAAACGTATCTATTATAAATGTATAACACTTCCCCCCGTGGGAGTGGAAAATTTTTCGAAAAATTCCTCAGTGTACATTCTCTTGACGTACCCTATTAAAACGCAAAAAACCGCATCTAAAATAGTATAAATGGAAGTAGAGTTCTTTACGGTAAGCCTTAATCCTGTCCATCTCCCCCGGGGGAATTTCAAAGGATCGGTAGGAAAAAACGAACATTACACTTTTATTTATATAGATNACCCGGTTTAAAACAAATCAAATCAGGTCTGTTCATTGATTTCTTATAACATAAAAATACATCAGAACCCATCTATGAAAATTTTATTAATATACTAATTAAAGTTTTGTGTCTTAATGTATACTAACAGTAAGTTTTAAAAAATATACTCACCACACCTTTCTTTAAATTTTTATTTATTTGACAAAATGCATGTGGTGGAGTTTTCCCGTAAATACATTAATTTTTATACAGTTTAATGTATTAAACTGTTTATAATGATTTTATTATTGTTTTGTGACTTTCTTTTAATATCACCGCAAACCCAGGTTGAGAAATGCTGTCATAAAGGAATGATTTGACATTTAATAAAAATACTTACTTGTATGGGGTTTAGAAACAGATGAGTAAAAAGTCAATAATTATAAATAAATGAAAATATTTTAATAATTCATTATAATCAGTTTTGTTTATTAATTTAATAGTTAGACCGGAGTAATAGAAGAAAAGCCTGCGCCCCAAACAAAGTTGAAAAGCATATAAAAAGACCTAAGAATTCCTTCATGGTCTGGAATCAAATGTACCGGAAGAGTTTTTGTCAAAGATGGCCCCACTTGCCGAATACAGAAGTAAATTGATGGGTCAGAGCTGGAAACTCCTCTCGGAAGATGAGCGCCAGACATTTATAGAAAAGGCAAAAGAACTGCGTAAAGTGCATAAACTGAATTATCCAAGAAGTCCACCAATAGTCAGCCTACCCCGCCTGCCAAAGTTCCTTGCTCCCCAAAGAGTGCTAACATCAGCCTGCAAGATAATGGTGCCATGTTCATTCCGCAAGTGTCGGTCGCATCAGACAGAGGAGGCAGACTTTAAATTCATACATGAATTTTTGAAAGTGCAGTTTGAGAAGAGTATACTATATTATGTACTAGAATTATCAAAAGTGACTACTGATTTTTTTATAATAAAAAAAAAACAAACAATAGTGTTTATGACCTATTTCTTTCTACTCAAAGAGCACTAAAAGAGCATGGCTACACTGATCAATAAATGATGAAAGATAATATTTTATATTATATTACATTTTAAAATAATAATAGTGAAGATAAAAATTATTAAGAATTTCAATGGAGGTATTTTTTTTTCTAATTTCAAAAAGAACAAACCTTTTCAATGAAAGCTGTTGAACAATATGCCATATCAAGATTTTCAAAAAGTTTATAATTTTATTTACAAGCTGACGAATAAGTTAGGCAAGATCTTGAACAGGATTTTAATCAGGGCTGTAGGTGAAGGGCCTAGATGATATCTTTTAATTTATATTAGTATAGATAAAACATCTGTAGGTTTGATTAGTGGTAAACATTCTGGGGATCATAAAGATTATGGTAAAATTTGGTAACGATTGGTTCAGTAGTTTTCACGGTTAGTGGTCACAAACGAAAAATGCATTGTCTCTTTATATAGTAATAAAATAATATAGATATACATATAGAAATATAATATAGATATAGATTAGCAGACCTCGCCACGCGTTGTGGCTCAAAACGTATCTATTATAAATGTATAACACTTCCCCCCGTGGGAGTGGAAAATTTTTCGAAAAATTCCTCAGTGTACATTCTCTTGACGTACCCTATTAAAACGCAAAAAACCGCATCTAAAATAGTATAAATGGAAGTAGAGTTCTTTACGGTAAGCCTTAATCCTGTCCATCTCCCCCGGGGGAATTTCAAAGGATCGGTAGGAAAAAACGAACATTACACTTTTATTTATATAGATCAGGGTTTTTCAATCTGGGGGTCGCAAAGCCTTACACGGGGGTCGCGGGGCATCTTTAATTCCAAGTTTTTTTTTTTTTTTTTTTGCAAATTACACGTTTGGAGACTTCCCGAACCCCACAAAAAAGTCAATAAAAGGGGAAAAATTCGCGCGCGTGTGTTGGCGTCTAAATTGTTTAATTTCTTTATTTTCTGTTTTGACTTGTGAGATTAAACAATATCTCGGAATATGTAAAGTTTAAGAAACGAAATTTGGCACTGTAGTTCGCGTATAAAGGGGCATTAATACTATTAAATTTTGGTTCTTAATTAAAGGTCGACAGGGTAAAGACATAAAGGGGTCATGTGTCATATCTCTTAATGAATCTTTTGCATATCTCGAAATTTGGGAAAGATTTGACAGGTATAAGAACATCGCATACGATCGTTAAAGTTCTAAAATGACCTATAGCAAAAACAAAGTGCTAAATTACGAACGCACGGCTTATAGGTTTATTAAGTAGTTGGTGGCGATTTAAGCACCGATTGGCATTTATTTACAATTAAAAATGATTTGTATGTATTTAAATGCGAAATTATACCCCAACTTACGCGAATTCCCACCTATCGCGTAAGTTCGGGGTATTACTGTATTTTAAATGTTTGCTAAAAACGGAAAAATCAACAGTGTTATAGAGGGGTCGACTGGTAGTAAAGTTCAAATTAAAGTTCAGTGGTCGTCCAATACAGTTGGTGATATAATAACGTCTTTCCGTACATATTTTGCACACTATTTAGCCATTTCTACTAAGCAAAACGCCAATTTTTTAATTAATAATTAATTAAATTCATACTAAAACAAGTATTCTATTGTATGGGAATATAAGACTTTTGAGAAAGGGTTGACAGCGGATATTGCCACCAGGGCGGCGCGCGACTCCGGTGCCCCTAGAGTCCTCTATAAACAGAGTATGGTCAACTGGGGGTCAAAATATGATTGGATACTGCCGATCACGTGGTTTATGGACGCCATTATGAGGCCAGCTTCCTATCCGCTTATGACAAGCGAATGTCAATCAGCTATTTATTACGATAAATAACAGAATTGGAAACTTTATATACCAGGTCATTTCGATCTAATATAGATTCTAAACATCGAGTTAGTTCTTACTTTACTAAAATGCTCTGGACCAAAAAACAGGGCATAGAAACAATTGTGAGCGTATAGATCCGACCTTGGACCACAGTTATGCTACAAATTTATTTCCTATGACATATATGCAGCCTACTAAGGTATATTTATAATATAAATTTAAAATATCCTTATTAAATATTCTATTTTTTCTTATTGCATACTTTGTTTCTTTTTGAAGAAAATGGTGATGACTGTAAAAGCACGAATGGAGACGAAGATAATGAGACATCTGGTCCAGTATTTCGGGACTCCGGTAATCTCGTTAGCCAGCCACTGTCACCAAAATCAAAACAGATTAATGAACTGAAATCTCAATCGCATAATGCGTTACATAGAGTTAAAAGAGTGCAGAAAAGTAAGGAGGATCTCTACGAAGAGATAAGAAAATTAAAAGTCTAGAGTCAACACACAGAGTACAAACATAAAATTAATTTTCAATCCCGATCAAATGAAAACCCTTGGTAACGTGTCAACACGAGGAATAAAATGGCAAAATAATACGATAAGAAAGGCTCTGCAGTTAAAATCTGCTTGTGGAAGATCAGGCTATGAATAAACAATATTTAGTGATTATGGGTGACTTTCAGTGGCATGCCATGGCATTTGATGATAGGAAGCTGTGTTTCTATAAGAAGCTGACTTCCAGGGGCAATCAGTTAATTCTTTCTTTAATAATGTTTTCTTTTTCATTATATGATCTCGAGCTAAAACTTTTTTAAAATAAATTTTCAATATTGCAATTACATTCCGAATCGCTAGCCACGATATAAGGACTAAAATTAAAAAATAAAATTATAAAAACTTACTCGGTGAAATAAAACGAGTGGTGGATATACATACCTGGTACAAAACCTTCTTCAATTGTATGAATATACTTTTAAAGAAAATTATAATTAAATATGACTTTGTAATGAAACGTACATGAAAATAACATAAAATATTCGTTACTCTTTAAATCTTAATCAAATCTTAGTCAAATAGCTCCCTACGAGTGGAATCGGAGACGATCCTGCTAGGTGGGCGGCGTGTACTGTTTAAGTAATACAATAGAGCCTCGATTATCCGACC